TACAGCCCGACGCCAGCCGCATTCAGCCAAAAATCACTCACTTTTTCTGACTAACAATAATAGCAAAGTTCTAGGTTCTTTTTCCCCGCCCCGACCGTCTTGTCCTTTTTCTCTTTTTACTCCAGGATAATTTGTTCACAATGACAGACTAATCACAGTAGTATAGTTTCAGTGGATGAGGATATATCCAGATATCTATTATCCACTCTAGTGTACTCCAATCTTTTTCAAGGAAGGAAAGATAGAACCGGAAAAGCATTCCACCCTGCAAGACACAAATGACAAGAAGTAAGACAAAAAAAGGATGATCGCTTACCCCACGGGGTGCAATCGGGACAGCTCCTCTACGAGCCTCGCCGGATTCCGGAATCCGATTTGCATTTCGTGCTTTTTAACTGAACGAACTTGTTGTGTGTGGAATTGGGATCGTCGCATTTCGTCACTGGAAAAGTACTACTTTTACATAACTGAATAATTCGTAATGTATGCAATTGGCATGGATTTGGCATGAGATTCCGAGGTTACTTTAGGCTAACTCACTAGAGCTCGCGCGAATCCTTACTAATTATCAATTCTAGACCCATACTAGAACAGTCGGATTCTTTGTCCGAATGTAGTAGGTATATCGCTGGTACATAGGATACATTTACACACTGCTCCGGTGTATATTATGTGCCTGTTCACTGGTCATTTCCAGGTAAACCATCGGTCCTATATACACAATTTTCCCCCCGTGCTAAAAAAGTTCCCATCACTTCTAAACGCCATGTATCGCCAATATCGCCTTATAAGCAAACATCATGAGGTGATAGTTTCCCCATCATCAATCCAATCAATCATGTAAATCATAAACCCATATATCCCAGGTCACAGAAACCAGAAGGGGGAGTCGCCGGCAGCCAGGCCGGTCATATCATCCCATTCCATCAGCTTCATACATAACCGTCCCCATCTCTCATCTTCAATATAGCACATGAACACTCAATGCTCCGAATCACGCCAGCATGCACGTAGAAATAAGTAATGCAAATGAAGAAGGAGAAAAAAAATTCAAGAGAAGAATCAAGCAGGCGGCGCGTCATTCGATGATGACGATTCGACCGCCTCTCCGTGCGCCCGCGTGCGCACCCGGAACTTCTCGCGTAGTCGCGTTGTCAGTCGACTGCGTCGCCGCATTCGCTGCTCATCCGCTTCGTCGGCCGCTTCCTCCCGGTTGGCCTCTTCCCGCACGCTCCGCAGCGCCGCGAGGCGCTCTTCCACGCTGGCATCGCGCATGCGGCGCGCATTCAACGTACCGTGCAGGTAGTTGCTAATGCGACGGTGGCGGCCATGGCCACTCTCAGTCGTCGCCTCAGCGGCTCCTTCGGCCGTCTCTGGCTGACCATCACCCAGATCTTGCTCCTCCTCCTCGCCTTCTTGCTGTGGGGGGTTGAGATCAATGCGGCTGCAGAAGTTAGTAAATGTGTATATCACGTAGAGAAGTTCGATAGAATACTCACCAGAGAGGACACGTGCCAGAAACATTCACCAGCCACGGGTCAATACACTCCGGGTGGAATTGATGGTTACACGGCAGCACGCGCAAATCCTGCCCCTTGACAAAGTCGTCCGTGCAAATAGGACACGAGAAGTTCGGGTGATCCGTCGTCGTCTCCGCCGCAGGAGCATCGCTGGGCTTCTCTTCATGCGATTCAGTCGGGGGCGCCTCCGTCTGTGGCTGGTGTGGGGAAGTGACCTCCGCAGTCGTGGTCACATCTCGTTCCTCCAATTCATTGGTCGGCACCTCCAACCCCGAACCCATCTCAACATCCCCCTTGGGGCCAACCGTCTTACCGTCGGGTTGGTTGTTGTCCCCGAACTTGACGATCGGGATCGTATCTAACATGGCTCGCGCTATCCCTCGCGCTCGACTTTGTCGCGGTCGTCCCGCGGTATACCGAGGCCCATAGCGCTCCGGATGGCGGTGCGCACGCACCGCACCGGTAATGATAATGGCTAAGAAAAGGGCAGTGATAATGCCTGTAATACTATACAGAATGATCATTGCTGTGGCAGATTAGCACATGCTACCGCGGCAATGGAGAATCGGCATACCCGTGTTCGGACTCCCGGACGAATCGGTCTGGTCCTGGGTCGTTGTGGTGGGCCCCAGATACGACATGTTGGTGCCGATATACGTCGTTCCGTTCCCTGGAGCTTCGAGTTGAGACTGGACTTGCCGATTCAAGGTCGGATTCACGAGCGTAAAGACGTTGATGTAGCGGTTGGCGGATGGTTCATCCGTCGTATAATTGCAGAGCAGTGAGGTGCCACTATATAAGATGACAGCGAGAGCCTGCTGCTGTGCGGTGAGGACGTTGCCTAGCGTGGAGCTGGCATCCAAGTTCCCGGGATATGCGGATGGGTCGCAACTGATCACCGCGATATCCTTGCGGCTCAATGACAGAGAGTTGGTGGCATCCACATTTAACAAAGTCCCCGACACCAGATATTGCTAGATTCCATCAGTCTCGGCATGGTGAGGCATCGACAGGGCTGACTAACCGCAAGTTCTGCCTGATTGAGATCCACCAAAGCCTGGGTCAACGGGGCCAGACGGACGGACGTTGGCAAGTGAACCTGACTGCTGTTCAAAAGGAACCGGAGGCCACCAGTCCACGACAGATCCCCAGAGTTGTTGGAGGGCCGCACGGTCCAACCGGCCGTGTTCACTGCAGAGCCGAGGGATGAGAGGGCGAGCAGGATGATGAGGCGAGCGGGGAGCGAACAGGTGGAGGAAGCAGCAGAAGCAGCAGGAAGGGACGCAAAACGACGGCAGAAGGAGAATAAAAAGAAGAAAGGAAAGAAGAGTGAAGCAGGATGGAAACGGGGAGGACCCATCGGCGAATCGCCCAGTTGATGATGCTGGCCGGCGATGGAACTTTCCCCACAGTGACGAGGCCTACGGAGACGGCGGAGGATATGGGGGACGGACGAAGATCATGAGCCACGGACGAGGATCGGCCCAGGACCAAGAAACCAGGAGGGACCCAGAGGCAGCCGAAGAGGCACCCAACTGCCAGTCAGCGTTTGGCGAGGACGGTGATATCACCCCCGTGTAGGAACCGGACGATCCGCGGCGGCTACAACAGGATTGGAGCGACCGTAGTGGAAGGGGGGGCTATGAACAACAGTGAGAGGTAGGGATGCCTCGTCACCAATACGGGCAAGTGAAGAGCGATTGGGGCGAGTAGGAAAGATTTTGGGGTAGTGGATTGAGTACCACGGAAATTAGGAATGGTGTGAATGAGACGATTTGGAAATTCAAATGGGGTGGGTGAGTTGGGTGAGAGTAAGTGAGTGATTGAGTGTGTGTGGATCGGAGGTTCACAACCTTCAGCAAGCAGACTGGCTGCAATGGGAATTAGCAGCGGCTGGCGATGGGGGAGAAGGATGATGATTATCCACCAGACGAGGGGAGGTTGGCGGATGGCTGGCAAGCTGCGCAGCCGGGCGATCCGGCAGGAAAAGCGACGGATGAAATAAGAGCAAGACAAATAATAATGATAATAATAATGCCACTGGTCTGTCAGCCTCGTTACTATTCTTATTACTGCTGGCCCGGCGGGTTGTTTGAGAGTGAGATTCAATCAATCAATCAATCAATCAATAAATTCAGCCAATCCACCCGAGGAGAATGAGCCGTAAACGCTGCCTGTTTCCAACTTTTTAGTTCAATCAGGGGAGACAGCAAGCGAATACGAGAGGGTCGAGCAAGAGTCAGAAAGTAAAGAGCAGTGAGCAACCAGCGGGGATTCCATGGATCGACCGAGCGATGCCGGTGGATGAAGGATTATTCATCGCAGCGCCTCGGTCTGATTGCTTGCAGATAGTCGTGGCCGAGGATTTGCGGCGTGATGATGGATGCTTGCGGTTCACTGAGAGCCGAAAGGAAGAAAAAGTGGGACGCCGACAAGAGACAGTGTGTCAAAAGAGAGACACTAGAACTAAACTAGACTCAAAAGCAAGAGAGATAAAATGGAATCACAAATAGAACATTGGAGAATCCAAGGAAAAAGATGGGGCAGGATAAGATAAGCCTGGTCGCATCCACTTTGGGTCTTCTTTCTCTTCTTCTGCCCTCCCTCTGATTAGATTGGGGTGAATGTCAATCCACCCGCGATCGGAATCTCCGCCTACAACAATTCTTGAGGGGGGTCATGGAGGAATGAACAAGCAGACAAGCAACCCAATGGCAATGAAAATCCCCCATTCCACAGGAGAATAATGACGGGTCCTGGAGGCATGAGAAAGAGGCTGCAACTGGACCGAGTGCGGGGGATCCTGGGCAAACCCGCCGATCGCTTGTGCTTGTCCCAATTTTCGGACGGGAGCCGTTCATGGTTCCGGTGACTGACTAAAAGATAACCAGTAATTCCGTAGCTAGCCAGCTAACTAGCAAAGATAACCAGCTGCCAGACAGGCTATTGTCAATCGGAGGGGAAAAAAAAATAAAGGCTGACGGGGATTGACTTTCCGATTGATTAACCCTCAAAGAGTCAGGACAAGTGGCCCTGGTCAACACACGCGCACCACAAGAAAGCATTAACCATAATCTATCCCACACACCCACACCCCCAATGATGGATGCAGCAGCACGAATAGGCAGCCAGATCACCGTGCGGCATTGCATCATTCATTGAACTTTGTTTTCCCGATTCAGCACCATCCCATCAAGGGGTTCCGCTTCCAGCAATGCAGAAGGGATGAGATCTCTCTCACCGCACCGCACCATATAAAAAGCTGACAGTTGCGCTCGTGCATGGATCTCGTTTGAGAACGGGGTAAAGGATGTCCTCTCGTCCACACCCTTTCCTAGCTGCTGCTGGGTTGAAGGGAGCGCGCATGGACCCTTTCGCGGGATGGGAATTTGATTGCTTTTTCCTCGCCAACTCCGATTTCTTCCAACGTGGATTCCTCCCCTTCCAGCCAGTGCAGGAGCAATTGGTCATGATGGTGTGCAGACGAAACCATCCTCCGTCGCCAATTCAACAGTGATCGGATGATCTGGATGGGATCAGATCTGATCCCTTGATGGCGATGGTTACCCGTAACGGAAAAAGGTAGGTATGTCGAGCTGACTAACCTTCCCTGCCTTTTGACCGGATTTGTTTCCGTTTCTATCCCGATCAGGAAGGTCCAAGAACTCATCCCCGTTTTTGCTTCGCCGGTGATTCTCCGCTTCTCAAGGTGGGGGTGAATCAAGCACGTCCACAGTGAGTCTGTGTTCATTTCTCCAACGGACTCTCCGATGCCGGAGTCCATGCGTCTCCATTTGCGGGGATTCGGCGATGTTGCGAGCATGTCTGCTGTGAAGATGACGAGGCAGCGGGCGCAAGATTGCATTGAATCTCATCTGACCAAAACCAAAGGGACTGACTGACTGTTCGTGATCTGCATAAAATGGCGGACACAATTTTATTCATCCTCATGCAGGGATTCCCTCTTTGAGCACTAGGGTTAGGGTCCCTGCCAGTCACTCGCCCTGTCCGGAATAAGCTATGGATTAGGCCGATCGGAGGGATCCGCCCATCCTCAGCTTGTTCAGCTCGCTCTTCTCCAGACAGCAACATTCCTCCGACCAGGAGGTTAGCAGTAGAAAGAAGACGGTCTCTGGGGTGTCCTCCACTTCCCCCACTTTGCAGACTCGCTTTCCTCAGCCGACAATGTTCTAGCCCATCTGGTCGCTGCTGGGATGGGTTGCTCTCAACACGCCGTGTGACATGTGTCACATCTCTTTCCCTCTTATCTTCTCGCTTTAACTTGCCATCCATGTCGAGCAGGCGACCAAGCACAGTCCCTACTGTCAATAAGTAAGTTTCAGCACCTTACCTGGGAGGGAGTATAGTAGATCAGCGAGACGAACATCCGCCAATCCATCCAGCCATCAACCCTGATCGGTCACCCATCCAGCCTTTTAGCGGATCGTAGGGCGATCAAGTGGGATTGTCCTAGCAGGGTTGATGTGACCTGACCTGACCTGCCCACTGCATCCCCCCACACACACAGCGGCGGTCGCGTGTGATGATCGTGCCGAATTAGGTGTAGATAAGAACTGGAAGACGGAGAACAGACCACCGACTGAATCAGGGCGAAAACAAGAACATACAAAGCATAATGCAATTCATGTTTGTTTTTTGCTTAAAGTGCGATCGGATCTCGCTTGCTTGAATAATGGAGGATCTTCCTCTGGTATTTCTGAGCTGAGCTGAGCTACTTTTAGTGCCAAAGCTACCACCCAATCTTAACCTATGCGTGATAGCCACCCTCGTCACTCGTTCCAAGAGTATTGGCAACCACCACATCACCACTACCATCACAACCATGCAGGGTGTAGATGATGTAGAGCAGGCATGACAGACATGACATGACATGTCTGAAGATGGATTCTACCTCAGGGGAACGCCCCAATCAGACGACCATAGGTTATTGAGGGTTCCGATCTGTCGTGGCGCGCAACAGCAGCGCAGTACTACCACCACCATTACGATATACTCATCTTCCATTGAGAAGAAGTATCTACTGGGCAGTATTTCATATCATCAACACGAGAAAAGAATTACTAGTAAGATAGTCAACTAAGTCAGAATTTAGGTACCGTAGCACTCGCCCAGCAAGCAAGCACGCAAGCACCGACGAACCAAACCCGCCATAGAACACACAGAATACTGTTATATCGCGACGGTGTTATTAGGGGCTCCCGCCGAGGATTACCTCTCAGTGCTACCTACTACCTACCTATCTCTTAACCTACTTAATCCCTACGGAGTTACTGCTGCTGCTACGGATACAGCCGATTAAGACCGTCGCCGCCGCCGCCGCCATGCATGCATCCCTACCCTTTCCCCCTCTTGTGATGGGGAATAATTAAGAGAAAGGAATAGAGGGAGGGATGGATGGATGGACGGGTTGATGATAAATGCAGCGGCAGCAGCAGTAGCAGCAGCAGCAGCCACCGCCAACGATTGGCGGAAGTATCGCGGTGGTCTCGACCGTGTTCTATACTACCGTGGGGCTTGTGACAGCAGCAGGAGCAGCAGTTAGTTAAATAACTAACCTACTTACAAACTACTACTGTTAAGTAGTGTGTAGTGTAGCCAGCAACACTTGGTCCGTGTGTTCTATTTCTTCCTTACTTAATTCCCTCTACACTCGCTATCTAGATAGTCAATAAGGATGGATCTACTACGTACTATACTACACTACGGACCGTTTTCATACCCACATATAGTGGATAAATGATAGATAGGTAAATGAACAAGTAAAAAGAATGGGGCCAACTTCCACCAGTCTAATATAGAAGATTACATACATACATAACAATACCCATAACCAATTAATCATATAAGTAAGCAAGTAAGAAGACTACTTACTCAGTAGAAGTTCTAGTAGTACCCGACAACCTGGGAACACATTCCTATCGACGGAACAAGCTGCCACCAATCTCCGTCGTGGATAGATTCCCGCAACTTAACTTGCTTCAAAGTAGTAGATATGTATCCGTAGGTAGTAGATAACTGGTAAGTAACTTAAGTAACTAAGTATGGATTGTACCGTACCAAGCATGATGGAAGGTAACTCCCAAGCCACGTACATCAGGTACTAAGTTACTACCGCACTCACTACCCGATTTAACCAAAGCTCAAGAAAGGAATGAATGTGGTGGTGGTGGCTTGGACAGATTCGCCTCATCCGACCCTCGGATAAAGGGGGTGGGTGGATGGTGGGATGAGAGACAAAAGATTGGGGCTTTGTTTCGTTCGTTCGTTTCTTCTTCTTTCTTCTTTCATTTGTTTTTTGGGATGCGATGGAATGGATGGGAACTTACCGACCGACTGGGTTCATCAATTTATTTGGTTATTCTATTTACCTGGGTATAAGGGCCATGGAAAGGGTGGTGGTATGATCAGCTGGTGTCTTTTCTACTGTAGGGATTTTTATTTTTCTGGAATGAGTTAGATTAGTACTGTGTTTTGGGTACTCCGTACTTGGTCAAGGGTATACCAAGTAGGGTAGTTGGTATCTTAGTGAAGAGTGCAGTAGAGTGCTTAAAGGGGTAAATAGCTACTTAGGGGAATGAGGAAAGACCGAAGAAAAAAAGGACAGACGATAGTACTAAATTGCTACGAAGGTAGAAAGAGCAGAAGATAAAGGATAAATGAAACAAGAAAAATAATTAACCAGGGCGTGAGGCCATTAATTTATTATTTTCATGGGGGGTGTCGATTAATAGAGTCAATTAACATTGACTAGGGAAGGAGGGAGGAAAATGAATAATAAAAGAAAAAGGAGGGATGGACGAATGTGAGTAAGATATTGTGGATGGGGAAGGGATGTTTGTTCATTGTCATCCAACCCATCACGCACTAGCTCCAGGTGTCAAAGCTCCAGCCTACTGTAAGCCAGTCAGTCAGTACTTTGCTTTCTTTATGGGGGGAAGGGGGAAGAAAGAGACGACATGACATGCCTAGTTTAGCTAACTATCCGCTGGTTATAGTTCAGTCAAAGGAATTGACTGACTGTTTGACACTGACTGCGGAAAATCCTACCCTACTTCTACGTTTCAGTCCCCACTTGCTCCTGGAGGAGAAGAACGAGTCAACCTCAGGCTCGTATGGGGAAGAGAAAAAAGGCAAAAAGGGCGCCAGGAAGCGCACAGAGACAAGAGGCAGAGAGAGAATGCCATGTCAGGCCGAACCAAAATTAGCAGCAGCAGCAGCAGCAGCAACAGCAGCAGCAGCAGAGCGAAAGATGGGATGGATGGGTGGATGAATGGATGGCGGTCGAGGGTCTGGAAGAGTTATCCCGCGTCCTCCTCCCCGCTTCTATTCGAGGGCCTCGACCGCTGGAGCCCCGGCGAGATCCAGACTGATTGGCCACCGCCGCCCAGGGAGGCGCGCCCGCTTCCCTGCTGAAGGTGTTGAAGGAGGGTCACTCCCTCCTCCCAGTCGAGGGCCGAGGCCTCCCATCGAACTGGTATTGTAGTAAAATGGATCAGGGAACCCGGTCAGATGCTCTCTCTGTAACTGAAGGTATAGGGGGCCGTTGCTATGTTATACCACCCTGCTCGAAGGTTTTTTATTTTTTTCCCTACCTATTATTTTGGATTCTCACCACCACAACAACACGGGATGCGATCAAATGGTGGTGCTGTCTGTTTGGAACTACTGACGCCGTCTTCCCGATCAAGCACCAGAGAAGCTTGAAATGATTGATATTTCCGGTGCATCTGAAATTTCAAATCCTTTCGAATTCTAATTGCGAGGAACATTGGTTTTTTCTTCCCTCTGGCCTCTGTGATTTTTTCTTTTTCTTTTTCTTTTCCTTTTTCCATTCTTACTGATCAAGACAAGAAATTAAATAATAAATCAATCATAATCATAATTATCATAATAATAATAACACCTCCATCCATCCATCCCAGTGGAAGCCTAAACTTAACTTTTTTTTTTCTATTTCTCTCACTCACTCACCCTCTCTCTCTCCATTCCGAAAGAAGACAGTCGTGGAAACAAATACCAAAAATATGCATTAAATAAGATAGGCAGTTAAGAATAACAAGAACCAGAGAAATGATAAATCATCCGCTTAACATGGAAAATAAAAAGCCAAATAAATCAGTAACGATTGAGCCAAAGAAGGCACAGACAGTCTGCTTTGCACTGACTGGTAACCGTAGTACTTTTTCCCTGGTCCTCTTGGGGGGGATGTTTTTTTCTGTGTCCAAGCCCCCCATCTTCTCTCTCTCTTTCTCTCTCTTCCTCTCCAACTCTCTCTACTACTAACTCACTATTGACGCTGTTGTCTTTCTCTCTCCTCATTCTTGTCTTCATCCTGTCTTTATTCCCCCTCCCCCAGATCAAAAGTCCCCTTTTCCCGGGCGGGACCTCCCGCTGAAGCAAACGCGTTCAGGATGCGCTCCACGAGGCTTTAATCGGTCAAACAATCCGTCGACAGGGAATTCATTCATCGAGGCCCCAACGAGGCGATCAGGAACAAATCCACCGCCCCGTTCCTTTACTCCTACTGCCATTCCTAATCCTACTACTTCCTCACTACCTCTACAACTACTACCACTACTACCACTGCCACTACTTCCAATTCTTCCCCAATCTCTCCCTCCCCCTTCGCAGACATTTAGATCCCAATTCCAATTTACAATTTCCCTTCCAATCCCTACCCTATCCTATCCCCCTTCTACTTCATTCCTTCCCCTCTTCTTCCTCCCGCTTCCCCCCCCAAAGTCTCAATCTGAAACCTCACCTTCAACTCCATCCATTCATTCATTGATTCACTCACTCATCCATCCATCCACTCATCCATCCATCACCACCACCACTACTACTCCGCCCTTCTCTATTGTCAACTTTCACCCCCTCGCGCTAGATGATCGATCCCGCCCAACTTTAGCCTTCCCATCTTCTTCTCCCTTGCAGACGTCCGCCCCTGACATGCACCTGTCGGCTCACTCGACGAGACAGCGCTCGTCGTGCCTTGCCGTCCGTTAGCAGCAGCCCCCACGCCTGCCCGGCAACCATGTCCCCTCCGTCCCTCGCCATTCCGGCCACTTCTCCCGTGGCCGAATCTCTCCATCTCTGGAAGAAACGCTTCGACAAGCGACATCTTTCCACGTAAGCCAATTTCCACCCCCTTGCTTCCTTTCACGATTCGAGTCTCGTGGGGCCGTCGTCTCTTCGTGACTCGTTTGAGTTCCCGTCAACCTTGTGTGTCTGTGTGTGTTGTGCCCGCGGATGATCTACACAGGCCCCATCCCCCATGATAGGATAGATAGTCCGTGCTTTAATACTCTTCCGGAATAGCTAGAGCACGGTGCGGATACAAGACCGTGATCGTTCGTCCCACTGACCATCCGACAGCAACCCAGTTATCGCTACCCTTGATATAGAATACAACGAGCTGGTTCAGTCTTGGAAACGCTTCCAGGATAACCTCCTCCCCAACGATCGAGTGCTCTTCCACGAACGTCTGCAAGGTCCCGACGATGTTTTGGACGTCGTCGCCAGCATCGAGCCCGTCTGGACGTCCACGTCCGGACAGCGAATGTTGAGGGAATGTTGCGACGAATTTCGTTCGACCCTGGGCTCACACGGGAGGCTACTGGCCGTTCTACCAAGGAATGAATTGTACTGCTCGATCTTTTACGGCGTCCTGCAATCTCTTCTGAAGGTGAGCCCGGATGTTGTTCGTATCCCCCTTCCCCCAGTCAATAACTAAATCATGAGTCCCAGGCATCCGCGGGCTATCCCAGAATCATGGAAGGATTGATCAAAGCACTGGTCCAAATCAACCGCCTCATTGCCCCGCCAGCCTCGGGCGAGGCAGTACCGACAACGAAGGACTCCATCAACGCCATTGCCCGCTTCTACACGCTCCTATTCTTCTTTCTTGGAGAAGTGATGGACTGGTATGTGAGAAAGGCCAAATGCGGGCTTCTGCGGAGCCCCAACCAAGACGTGTACCGTGCCTTTCAACGCCTGATTGGCCAGATCCGACGCAGCGCGAAAAGTATGATGGAAAATCTCTCGGACGCTATGGACCTCGATGACCCCGACTGCGATAGCTTATGTGAAATGACCCATGACGACTATCGGGGGTGGTTTGAGCGGGCTCGATTGAGCCAGGTGGGTCTTCAGAACGGGGCCCGCCGCTTTGCAGCGCAGAATGCCCTCACCCGTCAGTTGATGTGGGAGATTCATCAGGATGCGGCGGAGCGTAAGCGATTTTTGCAAGACAGAGATGTTCTCCTGGCGCGATTGCTGGACACTGTTAGTCTACAGCTACAGTCCGTGAGTAAACAAAACAGCGGCATTGCCTGTTTGACCACGACCGCTTCCCAGGATTTAGGTAGGGAAGCCAGGCTCACATGGCCCGAACTGCTCGAAGAGCTGACCGTGCACGCATTACAAGACACAGACAGGTTCAACCTGATAAAAGGGGGGCACAAGCACAAGTACACGCGCATGGAATTGCAAATGGCTTCCCAGAAACTCGAAGACTTCTTTGATGCCGACGACCAGATCCCCGCGCTCGAAGTCGACGTTCCAGTCATTGCGGAAGATAACGTGATGACCTCGCTGAAACAATGGGCGACCGACGCCCACTCACAGGTCCTGGCCGTGGGGGGCCCTCAATCGACAGTTTACCCTAGCCCGGTTCTACTTGTCTCGACGTGTTACGCCAGCTTTGCCCGCAAGGCGGGCTTGCCCGTGATCTCCCACTTTTGCAACCGATCCACCGATGCCGCCAACGAACTGACCTATGAGCAACACCTCATTGCCCTGGCGTACAGCCTGATCCGCCAGTTGATAGAATACCTGCCTCCTGTAGTCGAAAGCCATGCGGGGTGTGACCTGAGCGGCGAGCGATTTAAACCTTTGAACGGCTCGCTGACGTCCTGGAAGGAGGTGCTCTCGCTGATTGATATACTCCTGCACTTTGCGCCACCCCTGCTGGTGTGCGTGATTCATGGCCTCGATGTCATTCAAGATGCGTCGACAGATCCGTACATCCGCTCATTGGTGCGGACCTTTCTGACTCATACGCGGCACCAGCCAGAATTGCTGCCAAACGGCAGACAGAGCCAGAGCGTATTACTGAAGGTGCTGTTCACGGTGGCCGGTCGGCCAAGCTCGCTAGTGGAGACATTATCGGAGAACCAGCTCATTCTGCGGGAGTCAAATACGACCGAGGAGCTGGCCCCGACCGACGCCGCCTTGGACGCCGATGTAGGCCCTACGGCCATGATTGCATAGTCATTTCGATGCTTCAGCGACGCCGCATTGCGATTTGAGTTTGATTATTCTTTTCTTTCGGGTGAAAAATGGGGTCCTCATAGAATTACATGCAGGCTGGGAATATTCTTCATGTTTTGGATATAAGATGGATTGATATGGGCTGCTGGATGATGCATTGCTGTGGATTCTTCCTTTCTTTCGTAACGTCACCTCCCCTAGAATAAGGGGAGCTTACAGTCGATGGTTTTTTATTTTTCTTTTCTTTTTTTTCTGCATGTTGATGGAGATACTTTTATTGTTTGGGACAGGCACATCTCATCTATCTCGGAAGCACGGAGTATATGATAGGATTGGTTGGGAGGGAGCATTTGGGTGTACATTTGTAATTATAGCAGCTCGACGAGGACATGCATATACGAAGGCTGTTGCTAGACTGATACTCTGAGTTGCAGTGGCTGTCCTGATCTGGATCAGATTCTCTATTAGTTGTCTTTCCCCGGATTGCTGGGTGTTCTTGGCACCCTCGGGATTCATTTTCCGATGCAGTGCATCCCATCTTCTTCCCCACAATCGTTCTTTTTTTTTCTTCTGCATCCTCTTCTGGAGTCTGTACGAGTCAGCCAAGCGAGAATTCTCCACTGACTGCATCTTCCTTTGGTTGTGCGCGTGACCTGCTGTGTTCGGAATTCAACGTGGGAGTGGATCCGGGACTGCACCTCCGTCCCAGATATATATTTATTGAACTCTCTCATGCTGGTGGACAACGCAGTCAACATCAATCGTCTTAAACCATCTCCAACATGGGTTCCAACGGACTTCGCACCAGCTCCAACCGGCTATTTCAGCTGGATTCCGTCAATGTAGAGGACTTCAAGAAAATCTGCTCCCAGACCACCGACCCCAGCACCTACCCGCTGGCCGAGGCCGTGCAGAAGAACATCCCCATCTATGATGCCTCCACCTTCGATCCCCTGAGTGCGGAAACCACCCCGGCTCTCCAAGCAGAATGGCATCACATTCTTGAATCTGGACCGGGCATCTTCGTCCTCAAAGGCATGTACCATCCCTCCCGGTACACAGACACCTTGAACGCCACCAACACGGCTTTTCAACACATCATCGACCGGGAGCGCCAGTCCCTGGGTCCCAAGGGCGACCATTTCGCTGCCAGCGGGAAGAATGACCGCATTTGGAACTCCTTTAGCAAGCACGCCTTTGTCGACCCCAGCTCTTTCATCGACTACTACAGCAATCCCTGGCTGCGTGTGGTTAGTGAAGCCTGGCTAGGCCCCGCCTATCGGGTGACCGCCCAGGTCAATATCGTCAAGCCCGGTGGCGCCGCCCAGAATAGCCACCGAGACTACCATCTTGGATTCCAAGAGCTGGATCGATGTGCGGCATTCCCGCGGAGTGTTCAAATCGCCAGCCAGTATCTCACGTTGCAGGGGGCCGTCGCACATAGCGAGATGCCGGCAGAGAGCGGTCCCACGCGGTTCCTGCCGTTTAGCCAGACATATGCGCCGGGATATCTGGCATGGCGCCGGGACGACTTCCGGGCATACTTCAAAGAGAACTATGTGGCGTTGCCGTTGGAGTTTGGCGATGGGTTGTTCTTCAATCCGGCGGTATTCCATGCCGCAGGGGCCAACGACATGGCCGAGAGCACGGGCTTCCATCGCAAGGCAAACCTGTTGCAGATTGGATGTGCCTTGGGCAAAACGATGGAGCACATCGATGCAGTACCGGTGGTGGACAAGTGCTGGGAGGAGGTCAGTGAGAAGTATCGCCGGCAGGGAGGGCTGAATGCAGAGTTGGAGGCATGGGTATATGCCGTGGCAGATGGCTATCCGTTCCCCTCGAACCTGGATCGTCGCCCCCCTGCTCCGAGTGGGATGGCACCGGAGAGCGAGCAAGAGATGATTCTGCGGGGTTTGAAGGAGGGTTGGAATCGGACCAGGATTGTGGAGGAGCTGCGAGCGCTGCAGCGAGAGGGACGGGGGCACCAGGAGGTGTAGTTGATAAATATGCATTCTGTTGTACGTATAGATAGCTGATCATAAACTTATGGAGGACCATTTCTCCGATGCGACCGTATCTCGTGCTCTTCCACTTTACACTCCCACAAAGCGAAGTTCAAGTAGGACAACTACCACCATGTGATCCGTCCCTATCATCCTACGTTATTCTCACGATCAGACCGTCCACGCTTCCACCATGCCCATTCCCATACCGACCCAACATGCTGTCCTTCTGGCAGTTACTTCAGCTACTGCTGGCTACCCTTCCAGCAGTAGCCATCAACCTCACCGGCTATGAGTACATCGTCGTAGGCTCTGGCGCCGGCGGAGGCCCCTTGGCCGCCCGCCTAGCCCTAGCAGGCCACTCAATCCTGCTCCTCGAAGCTGGCACCGACCAAGCTCACAACCTCAACACCTCCGTCCCAGCCTACGCAGCCCTCGCCGCCGCAGACGACCATCTCTCCTGGAATTTCTTCATCCGCCACTACGCCGACGACGCCCAACAAGCCCGCGACCCCAAAACCATCTACACCACGCCCACCGGCGAGCAATACGTCGGCCTCAATCCACCCCCAGGATCCATCATGAAAGGCATCCTGTACACCCGCGCCAGCACCCTAGGAGGCTGCACCGCCCACAACGCCCTCGTCGCCATCTACCCCCATCGCTCCGACTGGACCTACATCGCCAACCTTACCAACGACCCCTCGTGGCTCCCCGACCCCATGCGCAAATACTACATCCGCCTCGAAAACAACCACTACCTACCCCCGGACATCCCAGGCCACGGCTACACCGGCTGGCTCTCCACCGAGCACGCTCCCATCAACCTCGTCTTCCAAGACCCCCAACTCCTCTCCCTCCTCCTCGGCGCTGTCTTCACTCAACCCCGAACCGTTCTCTCCAACCTCATCTCCCTCCTCCTCGGCGACGTCAACTCCCCCTCCCCATCCCGCGACTCAAAACCCGCCTACTACCAAACCCCCATCGCCACATCCTCCAACGTCCGCAACGGCGCCGCCGACTTCCTCCGCGCCGTCCTCTCCGCTACCAACCCAGACGGCACCCAAAGATATCCCCTAACCATCCGCACGAACTGCCATGTCACCCGCGTCCTCTTCGACACCACCTCCCAACCTCCCAAAGCAACAGGCGTCTCCTTCCTCGACGGCCCCTATCTCTACCGCGCCAGCCCTCTCTCCTCCCCCAACACCCCCAGAACCCCCGGCACCGCTACCGCCACCCGCGAAGTCATCCTCTCCGCAGGCGTCTTCAACACGCCTCAGATCCTCCAACTAAGCGGCATCGGCCCCGCAGACCTCCTCCAGAAACACAACATCCCAGTCCTAGTCAACCTCCCGGGCGTTGGCGCAAACCTCCAAGACCACTACGAAACCTCCGTCGTAGTCGAAGCCCCATTCCCCTTCCGCATCCTAAACGGCTGCACGTTCAACTACACGTCCGACCCGTGTTTGATCCGCTGGCTGAATCCGAAAGGACTACACAAAGATCGCGGTATATACTCCTCTGCAGGGTTCACAAGTACATTACTCCACCATACCCCCTTTCCCAACACATCCACTACCCCCAACAAGAATAAAGACAAGAACAATGATGACTACAACACAATGATCTACGGCGGCCTTGTCAACTTCCGCGGCTACTTCCCCGGCTTCGAAGTCAACATAACCCTAACACACCACTCCTTCACATGGGCGATCATCCAAGCGCACCCATCCAACAGAGCCGGAACGGTGAACATCAGTTCGTCAGATCCACTCGATCCTCCACATATCCTCTTCAACTCCTTTTCAGATCCTGATTCAGAGAAGAACTATTCGCCTTAGTGGATGCGATTAGGGTGGCGAGAAGAGCACTGAAGAGACAACTTATCCCTACGTGGGAGACGCACCCGGGAAAGGAGGTACGCGGGTATGAAGAACTGAGGCAGTATGTGTTGGATACATCGTGGGGGCATCATGCTGTGGGGAGTTGTAGGATTGGAAGGGGTGAAGGGGATGATGATGATGATGAGGGGGCGGTGGTGGATGGGAAGTTTAGGGTTAGGGGTGTAAGGGGACTGAGGGTCGTGGATGCGAGTGTGTTTCCGAGGGCGCAGGGGACGTTTCCGGTTTTGGGGGTTTATATGTTGGCGGAGAAGGCGGTGGGGGATATTCTGGGGGATGATGGGGGTTGAGGTGGGGTGGGCTGTATGTGGATGGGATGATGATAGATAACCGTTTGATGATGTAGGGTTCGTCTCGGCTGTAGTAGTTAGTGGGTCAAATTGGCTGTTAGTAACTAAGTTGGTCTGTCTACTAGTAGTGAACAAATGATTAAGACAGATGCTGTGGAATTACTAATGGATCTACGTGTCCTACAGAGTATTGTTGTTTTCTTTGGAATAGAAAAATGGTATTAACTGGAAGCATAAGGCATGAGTGACATGTAAGTGAAATGGTATTCTGCCCGGGTATAGTATTATGGATTATATAGCGAGGGATATCAGTGGGTAGTGCGTTGTAAACAGAAAAGTGAAAGTAGGTAAGAGAACGATAAAGAGGGGAGTCGTAAAAAAAGAGTAGGAAAAGGCAAAGAGAGAATAGGAAGAAGAACAAGAAGAAAGACGTTGCAAAGAGAGTGTGTAAGCAAGAGGGGAAAAGAAAGAGAAGGGAAACACAGAATAAGTGAGGGTAAGTGTGAATGAGTGTGTGGTGAGGGAAAGGAGGAGATCATTTCTTGTTCAAATAGTTTTTGATCTCCTGGTTGCCTCTTTCCCTCACATCCATGAGCCAATCTCTCACTCCCCGACTACTATCTCCCACCCGGATCACACCGTCCTTCACACCCTTCCATCCTCTGATGGGTTGTTCTATGAAACTGTGATTGCCCCAGCACACCTTAGACCAGAGCCCCTTGTCCGGCGAGTTCCGCAACCCAGCCCGGCTCTTGTTGCAGTCATTGCAGTAGTCGGTTGACGGGCAGTCAAGACACATGTACCACTGAGGTTCCTCCAAATTCCATTTGCTTAACTTCGGTTTATTGCAAGGCCCCATGCACTGCAGTGTGCAGCCATTACTTTCGTCGATGTCGATAGTCTCGTCCGGGATGGGGATACTGTCGGGGGTCGTCACTGCCGTTGTTGGGGACTCGTTTGTACCATCAACGGAACAATGACACGTGCACGCGCTCTTGACGGACTGTGGGCTTAACGGCTCCCCAGGATGGGCTGCTGGTGTAGCGGCGGTGCTGCTTGGGTCCACCTTCAACCCCATCCATCCATCGACAGCAGGCTTTGGCGCATCGCGATCGTAAAGAAATGCCGACAAGGTATGTTGGAATTCATCGTCACTGACTTGGACCGCGTCGGCATTGGCACGATCAAAGATAAGAGACGCTGCAATTCCGGCATCCTTTCGGAGATTAAGCCAATTCAGCACCTTTGCCAGTGTTCGGAAAGCAGACATGTCGTTATCATCAACCCAATCGTCCAGATCGGCAATGCAGAGCTTAAATGCTTGGTCGGCTAATTCGTAAGCCCGACGTTTATGGTTCATGATTGAAAACATTTTGGCGAGCGTTATGAGAGCATTAGCCTTGGCAGATGATTCTATCACATCTGCTATCCGGACATTGTTGATCAGATCGGATGCTGCAAAACACAGAGCCGTCCTCAACGAATGGACCTTGGTCTTGCTGAATCGATAATAGTAAATGTCGAAGCGCTCTGTGATAATAATGCTGAGCAGTCTAGAGTCGACTTGAAGGGTCTCGTCTGTTATCATAGCGTCCAGTATCCTGTTGAAGATATCCTCGGCCATCCTGATTGCATGGCAATCTTGTCGGTAGATGACCGCAAGTTCCGATAGCATAACGCATGTCTCATGGAACAGCCCTTGATGAGCCCAATAGTTGATGGCACTGTCGTAAATTCGTATAACGACTTCAACGTTGCCAGTTGCCACGGCTGCCCTGCGGAGCCAGTCATCCTTGTTCGTTTGGCGAGAGCGGCTCATCAGCCAAGTGGGAATGAAGTTGGCTTCCTGGGTAACCATCTGCTTTTCAACCGTATTGATGATCTCCATATGATCTTCCTTCTCCGCATAAATCTGCACAAGAATAGTCAAGAAATAATTCAGCCCTCGGCATTTCTTGAAGTCGCCGCTTAGCGCGTCTGTGCATCTCTTGTATGCTAGCTGCTTATCACCGAGGGCCATGCAGGCTTGGACAGAAAGCATATAGACCCTCTTGCATCGGTTAAGATTGAAATTAGGTCGCAATGCGGCATCTGTACTTTTCCAGCACTTGAGGGCTTCATCAGTGTACTCCTTGACTTTGCTCCACTCTTCCACAGCGATGACTCCGGCTTTGGGCACAGAATGTTCTGCAAGTCCAAGCAATGAATATAGCTTCTCCGCACACATTGAATCGTCCAAGTACCGGTTATGCCTATACAAGGAAAGAGCATACTCTCGGTCATTCTGGTTGTCCGACTCATACAAAAGAAGGGCGGCTGTGAGTCGCGCTTGCGCAAACCGTGTGCGCGAGTCTCTGCACCACGCAAACAGATCTTGAGCGATCCTCGTATTGATCTGATCATCATCTCGGGACCAGTGCTTGTATTGTCCAGTCTAAAGATGTTAGCTCACCAGGATTGATTGTTATCGGTACCCAGATACGTACATTGAATAACGCGCGATAGGCAAGCCTGTATGGCCCCTTAGCGCCCTCAGGAGTAGACTTTGAAACCCAGCTGCGAATATGGCCTTTAGCTAGATCTTCCAGCATTCCTTCAGGACGCTTCTTCAAGGCTTGGGCCCAGGTCCATATCTGAGTCGGAAGAGATAAGTTTTCCCTCTCGTCTCTTTCTGTCAGCTTTTCTATCCAAGCCCGCACAAGTTCATTGGTGCTCCTGGCCTTGTCGGTATCATAGATATCGAAGTGGATTTGCTTGTCAGATGAGTTCCATAGTATATCCTCGAACACAGAAGAAACGCCAGTTTCGTTTGTTAGAACCCTGCCCAAAGCTTCTCCGACCATCTTCAGCTCCCTACCCCCGATCTCCTGTGGTTTTGCGGGCCTCGTTTCTCTGTAATGTGACATCTTATCTTTGAAGCCCTTCTTAGCATCCTTGGTACTGGGACGCTGCCATTGGGGAACCATTTCTCTGTCAATGTCTTTTAGATGCTGGATGAGGTGGCAGGCCGCATATTGACAGAGAGGGGTAGGTTTATCCGCTTTGTGATCGCAAAGAACGTCGCAAAGAGTGACAAATATGTTAACCTTCTCAGTATTTACGTTCAGACCTGGCTGGAATTGGCCCCTTTTGACGCATTCTTTGACCTTTGCGTTACGGAACTCGATGTATTGATAATCGCCGATAGACGGGGCTTTGCGGGATTTCTGATTGGAGTTCTCAGTCTCGTGCTCGGGCCGGGAACACCAATATAGCTCGCGATCCAATTTCGAGGGGCCCAAGTCGGGAGGAAGCATCTGCCGCTTGAAAAGGAGACTATGAAAAGGTCAGATTGAACGTGTATCGCGCTTTCTGGGTTCAGCAGTCCTTACTTTTTACACTGAGACAAGATGGTCTCCAGCCCCAGACCCCTTACCCGCGCATCATCGTCAAGGGCAAGTATCTGATTTAGGTTGGTCACCGTGAGAGTCTGCTTCGCAAATGCGCACCAAAATAGCACTTTTTTGACAGCTTTCTCAAGTGGCTCGTTGTCTTTTGCCAGAGCTCTCCTCACTAAAGCGTCTTCTCCATCACCTATCATCTCTTTGAACCTGCCAAAGCTCTTCGGACCTTTAACTTCATACTGTTCCATAATTTCAATGGTCTGGTCCAATACAGACAGGTTTCCTAGTAGCCATCTACCGCGTCAAAAGAAAAGAACTTCCACATAGGAGGGACCAGTCAGCTCACCTTCTGATAATTGCTTTATGAAATCCGAGACCTCCTTGATGAGGTCCTGATGAAAACGTAAAAGGTGCGAGAGTTTGTTAAAGGAACTCATGCGTTGAAGAATGATCTTGTCTTGAAGAGGATCAGTATTCCATATGTTGATTTCAGGAATGGATGCTTTTTCCGCCAAGTCGGATGGAAAGAGTTCTCCCTGATCGTGAGACCCTGTCAGGAGAACCCAAATACGATGGTTCCTTTCCCCGAGTGTCTCATATAAGAGACCCAAGAGTGATTCTCGCTCTTTGGGCTGCATCTCCGAAACACCGTCCAGGAGGATGTACAACTGTTCGGACGAATGTGATCGCTTCTCAAACCGCTTCAGCACGAGATCATCCCACACCATTTTCGCATCGCGCGAATCCAACACAGGTTTGTTGGCTATCGCGTCACACCACTTTGGATCCTGGGCTGCAATCTGGAATAGAATAGAGGCCACAACGCTGGCGAAGCTCTGGTTATACTGCATGCCCGGCTCGAACAGAAAGTAAGTGACGATTAGTTGCTGTCGCACCGTTTCTTTCTGAACCAGAGTTTGATCTCTTCCGGCTATTGACGGTATCAGCTGATAGCAATGTGCTGTTAGGAAAGACTTTCCCACGCCATCACCGCCTTTAAAGTATAATAAAGGACAGGTGCCGTGCGGGTACAGCCACTTCCTAAAATAGTCATGCTTTTCAACCCACAGCAAACCACCATCAATCAGTTGTGGTATGAATGAGTCCATGCGAGTGGCCATTTGAGACATCACAGTGAGGTTGAGATTGAGCTTGCTTTGGAGGGTTTTGGTCAGCTTATCAAACACGTTACCCTTCTCAGACATGCTGTGCATATCGAACGAGAAGGCGGTCTGCTGCATCTTGGTATTGGTATTCTTGATCAGCCAATTAACGCCATCCTTGATCTCTTTGGTATCATTGTATCCTTCGATTTTTATTGACTTGTGGAAGTTCTTGATCGCTTGTTCAACCTTTTCGCATTTACCGGTGGTCAAGTCGGTTTGGTACTTGAAGAGCTTTTTCGTGAAAAGCGCTGTGGTTGGAGACCCCCGTTAGTTGCAACTCTTAAGGCAAAGGATGTGCACCTTTTTGTGACTTGTATAGACTTACTGATACGATTTTGGCTTCGCAGATCGTGCCCTACATAGGAGCAAAACTGCAACAAGGCGATGAAAACACCCACTAGGCTTTGCTTGGCAGTTGGCGTGACGACGGGATATTTGTCGAAAGTATCGATTTCTTGCATTGCAGCAGTGATTGTCTGAAACGTTGCCTGAACAGTGTTCAGGTCTGCGCTCACATCCTGGGCAGCCTGCTTGATATGAGCTATCTGATCGAAATTGGGCTGGTGAGATGGGGCAGAGATTCCCGCGCATGGCTTACCTTGAGCAAATACGATATGCCCCCAGCGAGCAGCTTGGCTGGTTCGGCATACTAAGTTGGTTAGATAATTGAGCAAAATCCTCTGGAATAGCCATATACATACAGTCCCACTTGCGTGGCCTTCGACATAAGTGCACGCTTTCTGTGCCCAGGACATACACTGTTGCACTGGCTCGCGTAATTTGTTGCCAAACTCGTGAGCTTGGGGGTGTCTCCAATCGCGGAAAAGGGCCTCTGTTTGAGCCAGAGGGTCGCTTGCTGAGTGGAAGTCGGCTAGCTGCGCTTCTTCGGCTGGGTCGAATTTCAAATCTCCCTTTGCCTTTGCAAAAGCCTTATCCCACAGCTGCGTCATCGATTCCTCGCCATACCCCAATCTTTCATCGTCCCCATCTTTGCGATTCAGGAGCGTTTTGACGTCCTTCATTGTGGGCGTATCCGACCGTGGAAGTCAGAGACCTGCGAAAAGCAATCCCACAGTCGTCGCGATGGGGCGAACTGAAATACATAAGACAGGGGGAGGCAGGTGCGGCTGAGCTGAACTTCGTCAGCCATCCCTATTCTTCTCGCTCCATCATTGCTCGATCTGAATCGACCTGCATACTTAGAGGCACACTAGACGAACCATGGAGCACGGCAGGGGCCCTCATTGGGCCGATCGATCGAAGCTCAGTGGCAGAGATCCCGAGCAGGTGGGGACACGGGAGATTAATCGCTACCCAGCTGACAGCGTGGTTCTTCAGCTCAGAAGCTTACTGATTCTATGCGCTCGCGACGCGTGCACTTGGATTGACTTCTAGCGGAGCAAGTTCATCGAATGTGACGGCTAAAACCAAATATACTTATGATGTCTTCATTTCAGCACGTACATCATGGAGTAATCCATGGATTGGTATGAGAGATGGGTGGCTAGCGCACATCTCCGGTGTTTTGACGATCAGCAGAGAGACCCACTGTCAAAAGTTTAGCACTCCTCCTGGTTGGATCGCGATGCGGAGGCCCCGTCGCATGCTCCATGCTCCCAACATGGTCCCGGAGCATTGGAACTGCAGCTGCAGGTCGACCATGGACTATCTGACGAATCAGAAGTGCCCTTTGGTGGTCGTCAGTAATGAAGATGTGATTGCAAGAAAGTGATGGCACTGACACAGTGACGGAATCCATTACCCCAAGGGGGAATGATATGCTTCGCCCTGGCATGGGCCCCTTCATCTCCACCGATGACGGAAATGCTGGAATCATTGTGTAAACCAATTACAGAATAGGGAGGAGGGAAAGGGGTATAGAAAGGGCAGAGAAGTATGAACACGGACTCGTGTCTGCCATAAGTTCATGCAGTCATGTTAAAATGACATGGCTGCTTGTTATCGTAAGGAGAGGTGGGTACACAACGAGTAAGTACATAGTTTGGTGCTAAACTTCCGATAGTCGGAAGTAACTACGTACCTCAACATCACGTGTATGGTTCTCATCCATGCGTCACGTGACAATTTATCAGGTGATAACAGCCATTCGAGGCTATTCCTCTTTGAGTTACCGTTTCTCCGATCCATCGAAACTCTTGATGGAATCAATTATTCATGGAATGATTCTCCCGATGGACCTCGCTCTTCCTTCCCGCGGATCAATGTCCGACTTTTTCATTCGACATGGCTCCTACCAGACCTGGCAGGTCGGATAATTAGCCAGACGTCTGCTAATGCAGCTTCGGCCTTCCCCGCTCGAAAACGACTTCCAACCTACACTGAGCCCAAAACCACTGACATCAACATATCACAAACACGATAGAGCGTAAAAGCAAGCATCGAAATCAGAGAATGCTTGCAGCTTACCTGTTGCAAAGACGCTGAAAGCCACACGCTATGTTAACAATGCCATTGGCACCGATTGAGAACGAAATTACCAACGTGCGCTGCTATGCGACTTTCCGCCTAAGGTACTGTTGGTGGGGCCTGACCGGATATCTCGGTGCTCCAAAGCTCACGTCGTCTGACCGACCATATTTATGAACAGAGAGCAAACAACGTCTTTTGGCTACCATAACTGGATACTGGTATATAGAGTCTTCTCAATAAGAGGCTTCTCTTCTAGTCGCATCATATGGTTCAACACTTTCATGGCTGCCGCCGCCGCTCGCCGAGTAGTTGCTACAGGGACTTCTCAGGGTCCGTGAACCCTGACAGTCCCTGAACCCTGAAGCCAAGCGCCAAGCGCCAAGCCCGTCCAGTGCCGACCTCAGCGCGAATACTTGCTGCGCGATTTGTTCGTTGTCGGCGAGCAGTGGATAAACGACCTACTACGTACCCACTCGTTACTTCTTGTCATTGGATGGTCACTCTGTATACTATATGAATTTTGCTATCCGGCTATGCCGGCACAGCAGACGCCTGTCTGGGTAGCAGCATATAAGAGGTCCTTCTTCTCTTCAGGAAAGCTAGAGCTGTGGTGTCCCAATCGCTTCTTTCCTGCAATAAACCCCAAACTGCCAGCTGCTCCTCTCCAAGATAACGCCCTCAGCCATGCCTTCCTGGATCGTCAAGCTCGGTGCCCTTGTGGCTTTGGCGCATACCGTCGCCGGATCTCAGATTTCCCTCAGGACGACCACGCCGCCTGCGAATGAGTACGTGACACACTGCACTGTCATCCTTGATGATGAGCTTTTTGGCTGCAAGGGCAGTTCGAAGCCTTTCGGAAAGAAGTGCGGCCACAACAGGGGCATCCAGACCAAGTCTATCTGCGATACATCATCCGTCACCGTGGATTGGTCCACTGCCCAGGTCACCTTCCAGGATAACAATGGCCACTCGGCTAACTGCACGCTGAGTTCGACTGAGGAGGGAGGTCACTGCAACACTGACGACCCTGATGAGTTCCCAATTGAGCACAATGGAGCAGAGAGGCTCGGAGCCGGAGCTGCCCTCTGGGGTCTTGGCACCATGGCTGCCACTCTGTTTATCTAAACCTAACGATTGAACTCAAGAAACTGGGTAAGTGTACCGGGTTGAGGCGTCAGCAATGTCCAACTACTGCTGGTACTAGACGGTCGACTAACAACCTTCAACCTGATCAGGTCTTTCGTCATTTACTTGATTACACTATTCCCATGATCACTGGCTCAGCTACCATACCATCGATACCGTGGAAAGCAAGTCTATCATGGATGCCGTTATCATATACCCACGATCTCCCGCATCTACCCTGAAGGGAAAGGAATAACGCAGGACCGAACACACCGAGGCATACTTTCTAATGAGCTATTCTCTATCTTTCTTGGCCTCTACCATTATGTATATAGATTTATTTCTCAGTCAAAAAGTAACGAGGAAAAAATGCCACCATACCTCAATCTCCGATAGCCACCCGCCTAGTTACCCTCAAAGCGAGTAGAAGAGTCTTCGGCACCGTATACCCGAGGGACCACTCACTCCCTCCCGGCACAACACTTCCGACCAAAACTTCGCTATGGCGCTCATTAACCGAAAACGAAGTTAGTTCGGCCAAGATCATGCAACTAAGCGTTGGGGCTGCCGCGCCTTGGCACACAGTCGGGGAGGAAAGCTCGGCGCCCTGTACCGCTTCGGGTAAGGTTTGCATTACTCCGCCCTCGGCAATGCTTACGACTGGTATAAAAGGCTTATCGATTCTTATTTGAGTCATGTACATTTCGGATTGGTTTGTATAGAGGTGATTAGGCATGTTGCGTTTCTTTGGGTTGGAAATACATGTGCACTCGGATGAATCTTGGTCTAGTGGGAAAGTGCCGAACACGGAAGATGTTTGACTGCACTTAAATATTCGGTTAGTCTAAGTAGTAGTGTTGACTTTAGTTTTACAAACCAATAATCTTTTGATTGGAGGTAGATAGAACCTTTATAATATGTGTGTGTCTATAAGGTAAGGAGAGTAAACAAAAGCTCTAACTGTGTAATAGTATAAACATGAACTAACTACATTTATCATAACCAAAATAGGTCTATCGTATATATAATGACTGTGAACCCCGCCAAGACCCGCTGCGAGGATACCAAGACCCTTGTCTAGTCCAAAGTAGCATAATTCTCCAATTGAACCCCATTATCTAAGCCCACCCCTTCTCAGCATAGCCATAAGAGCCATCGGCTTAGAAAAGCGACGAAGAGCATCCGGCAAGACCCATAGAAATACCAAAGTTGGAAAAGTGTCCAGCAGTGACACCAACCTGCCCATTACCAGCCGAGCAAGAGGTATCGCGCTCACCACTGCACTTGACCGTGCTGGCCTGGGTTCCGGAGCTGTAGTATTCCTGTAGTAAACCAAGGTTAGGAGGGCGTACAAAGCGGACTCATAGAAGTAGGAAAACTCACAGTGCCATAGTGAACAAAGTCCCAAGGCCACATGACGTACATGTTCTGAAAGATAGCTAGTGAGCATTGAATGTCAGGTCAGATAGAGTTTAGAGCAACTTACAGGAACACCATCATCAGCATTGTTACCCCGGTTCAGGGTGCCGTTCTGCGAAGCACCAAAGTTGGCGAAGTCCTCGTTACCGATGGGGTAGGCGGCAAGGGCATTGCTGATGATTGTCTTTCCGGGGAAGTTCTGCGCAAGCGCGATGTAGGAGATGTAGGTGAGAGAGCCACCGAGAGAGTGTCCGGTCGATTCAATGGTGTAGTCGGGGTACTGCTCGACCAGCGACTTGACCTCCGAAATCACATCATCGTGCACAGAAGACCATGGGGAAAAGATGCCGTGCATCATCTTGGCGCCGGAGGGGAAGTTGACACCAGACAGGCTGGGCTCGACCAGGGTGGTGTCGACGTCGTTGGCAATGTCGGTTGCTGTCGTTGAGGTCAGTTTAGTTCTTAATCAATATGGTTATGGTTTTGATGTACTAACCGCTAGTGGAACCCCTCATGGCGACGGTAATACGCTTCTTCTCAGTGGAGTAACCGATGAAGCCCTTGTGGTTTGTTAGTATAAGAAGGCTTGATAGGAGCACGGCACATACCTGGGTATCGGTTGTGAGCTCATTGATTTGCTTGGTGATGGTGACATCGAACGCAGTACCGGTACAACCGGTGTATGCTGCGGAGGACAGCTGCGCAGCTCTGTGTAGTTCCGTCCATTCGGCCGTATCTGCAAGAGTTTAGAAAAAGGCGGTACCAAAGCGTCATAGAAGGCTAACCGGCAGTGGCTCGAGACTGGAGCATTGGCACAGCCAAAGCCAGAGGAGTCAGGGCGAGACCGCCAAAAAGAGTGGACTTTCCGACACGCATGACGAAAGAAATGAGGGACAAGAAAAAAAAAAGACTGAAGTAAGAAACGAATGGTGCTACAATGAGTCTCGAGATTGCAGGTAAAGGAAAACAGAACCGTTCTACCCAACTTCCTTTTATAAGTCTACATCCTTATAATCTGTGTGCCGGTAAAAGCTTGATCGGTTGAAACAACACTGATACATCACCATAGGTCCGGTACCCTGGGAGGGAAAATCACCGGAACAGATTAGGGATTAGATTTCAAAACCATGTGCAGCAGTCACCCATGCACCGAGGTTTTAAAAGAAAAGGCAGCTTGCTTGCGGTTGAGAACCATCAGTGGCTCACCAGAATTCGGGAAGTGATTAGGGCTTGCTCCGTTGTTTCATGATCGGCTATAGTGGGGATCCGTTCGGGCGACCCAATTTTGAGCCCCGGGCGTTCAGTGGTCGGACCGCACCCTTTCTCCTAATAGTGTAGCTCCTTAGCGGCCGGTAAATGGATTGCCAGGAGTATACTTAGAACCGTTCGACATGTCTCGTCTTCAGTACCTCTGGAAAAACCTCGGAAAGGTGTTTGAGACCTCAACGCGGGTTCCGCCCCACTCAATCGTTTTCGATAGATGTTCGCCCGCCATCACACTGAACTTTGACTGTCGCAGATCAATCGGATGCCAACTCCGCCATTGTCGCGGGAGGGATGAATGGCCTTACACTTGTCCTTGATGTACCGTGTCTGGATGCCGAGACTGAACGGTGGCATGGATCAAGCGAACTCGAGCATGCCGTTAAATGATACTAAAACACACTCGGCCCAAGTCATCTTCAACATTTAACCCATTTATCTGGTTTTTGTGGCAGATTGTGGTCGCGAGGCAAGTGCCCTGTCCCATAGCTTCAAGGTAATGGAAAAGAAAATATCCGCTTGTTTTCATTTTCCGGCGTATCCCAGTCCGATTAGTCGCCACGAGGCACTGTCCATGATCGTGAACACGCATGGGACGGGACTGTCAGTCTGTTGAACATTAGGACTGTGGGCCGAATTCGAGAAGATCAGTCTCCACAAAGTATGACCACGGGATGATCGTAGAAGAATTAAAAGGTGTGAACCGTCACAATTGCCATTCTCATGGCCCACATGGTCCTGCCCAATTCTCAGTCGTTGTTGCCGGTTTTCCTGAGGCGACAAATTGCAGGAACTTGATCGTAATAGTCGTTTCACAGAGATATGGGCCTAGCCAGCTTGGTTAGAATGTGTAATGCGGAAATCTGGATAGCCTCCTATTGTATCCTGGATTCCCCAGATAGAGATTATAGGGAGACCAGGCCGAGGTCCGCTGATATGCCGTGCAACGTAAGCACAATACTGCCCAGAACTCCATGGACTTCTTCCTGGTCAAAGCGACTTTTTGATCATTGATAGCAGGATTGTGATTGCCTGAAATAAACCTTCGATCATTGTTCTGGTTTCGCTTGGCACTCTGATCGTTACATGTATATTTTTTGCACTTTCTATGGAATAGATTGTAAATCGATCGTATTTACCTATTGGATCAATTTACATTCAATTCCCTCAGATCAAACCAGGTGAAAGCCGCCTTTCTTCTCATATGTACTAACCAGCAATCGGATCGTTCATGCCCGCGAAACTCCCGGTAACATATTTGCTGATACGACCAAAATAGAGGATATAAAAGCTTACGTGTAGCAGAGCATGCGCTAGCCGGAAAATGACCAATCACTCTTATTTTGATTTCTAGCACGTCACTGCCAATATACCGATATACACCTGGAAGGTTAGTATGCTGCCCTCCTGTAAAGTAAGCCTTTGCTTAGAGCTATTGTGAACTCCCTCCATCTTCACCACGTACTTCATGCATCAGATCCAGCTGACCTCTGCCTAATCTTTATTCCGAATTGCACAGGCTTGACAAACCACATGTTCTTTGACCTCATGTCTGTACCATCTTTCTGCTGTATATCGATGTCATAGTCCCGAACGAGCTGGGGGATGAGCTTGTTGATCTCATACAGCGAGATGTTTTTGCCGATACAAGTCCTTGATCCAACTCCGAAAGGAACCAGACACTGTTCCATTACTCGGAGCTTTTCAGGGTCATCAGTCAACCATCTCTCAGGGACGAAGTCATCAACATCGGAGCCCCAGATACTCTCATCCCGGTGAATGACCCAGCTATTTACACCGACATTCGTCTATGACTCCATTAGCACATGTGGGGTACGAATCCAGAAAAGGCACAACTTACACCCTCCGGGAAGAATCGTCCACAAATAACAGCACCACCCTTCGGCACGATACGGAAAAGGGGAAATCCAACACCCGGATGCAGACGCATCGACTCCTTGATAACAGCCTGCAGATACGGCAATTTCTGAGTATCCTGGAAAGAAGGCTCACTTCCTAGACCAGCATCTTGAATTTCTTGTCGCAGCTTCTGCAGCTTCTCGGGGAACCGAAACGAGTAGAATATCACTGAGCTAAGACCAATTCCCGTGGTGTCACTCCCAGCACCAATATTGGATGCTGCGCTTGTCTGAATATCCCTATCTGTCAGGCCTTTGACGTCCTCTTGCTGAGCATGAAGAAACCTTTGGACCATAGGCTTTAGCCCCTCAGGAGATGGATCTTTGAGAAACTCCTGTGACAACTCCAAGGACTTCTGCGCGCTGAAACGAGTCACGTACAAGGCATCTGACTTCGTGAAAAAGCTGCCGAGGAATAGAGCCAATGGCCGCAGCCAAAGGAGAAGGCCCACTATACTGCTAAATGTGAAGGTGTTATCCAAGCTGGAGATCAAGTTGTTGATGTCTTTGCCCTTATCCAGGAAACCGAATCGCTCGCCGTACTGTTTAATTTAGCATGGCTCTATCGGGGTAAATGAGGGAAAGGTTGGGCTGGACGAGCATACCGTAATCTCGCTAATGGTATCAAAAGCAAAGCACTGAAGCCAGTGTCCCAGGTCCAAAGTCAACCCGTCCTTTGCAGTGGAGTCGAGCTTCGCACGCAACCGCCGGATACAGTTATCCACATAGGGCTCGTACGATACTACAGAAGACATGGCGTACATAGCTGCGACCTTGCGACGGGCGCTGGAGTGATCGGCCGTGTTTCTGACGGAAAAGAGGTTATGGCCCTCCGGGTCAGGTGAAAAGTTCCAAGCTTCGTACCAGTCCGACTTGATAAACTTGGAGCCATGGGAATATATGGTCTTGAGAGCATCGAGACCAGTGAGACTGTACCAGCCGGGTGCGATTCGCACAATCTTGCCTGTGAAGGTGTTCAGCATCCAGTCTTGTTCATTCTCAAATCTTTACACATACCATGATCCCGATGCAGTCTAATATTGGTATATTGGAAATCACCTCTCGTCATTTGTCTGAGATACCAGAGCCGAGTGAAGCGGGCCAGAAAAGGGCCGGGAATGTCACGGTCAGTGGACAAAGCCCGTCTGACGAAGACCCACAGGACTAGGCCTAGAGCCAGAGCAGAAAGCGCGGGGGTGGAGGACATGAGCATTTTGAGATCCCGAAATGACCCAAAGCTCTGCTGTTGTGAGCAGATTCTTGATAAGTCTGCGTTTACTTGGAGCACCCGTCCACACTCTTATACTCCTGCCACGTATATAGCCACCTAGTCCTCGGAGAATTCGGTCTCGGGGATGTTGACCATGCATGCATATTGCGTTGAATGTTATGATCTAAGCGATTTTTGTCTCCACTTGCAGTTGATCTGCAGGGATATTTGCTTGACTAAGCGGATCTCGGCTCGATGAGCGGAAGTTGCAGTTGAACAGGATCTTGTTATACATTGAACATCGAACAACGAATATGCTTGTGAGCAGCTTGCTTGAAAAGCATGATGAATTCAGCAGTTGGCTTAGACATTATCTCCTTCTTCATAAAGATTTGAATATCACATATGCTACCCTCTGAATCGTCTGTAGTCATATTGGTCCTCGGAAGTGCGGACTGCTGACGCGGGGGCTTTCCGATCAGGGTTCAATGCATCCCGTCAACAACCCGCCAGGTGGCTCTGATGTCCGCCAATGAGACGAAGATGGAATAATACCCCACCCGGGGTACCCTTTCAAGACTGCACGATAGGACGGCACCAGCCCACATTACCCAGACCTGTAACCAATTGATCAATTGACGACTGCTGTGTACGTTTTTTGTCGGTGAATCTCATCATTTCTGGTGATCATGCCAATCACAGCACGGGTCTTGACGTCTTGTCTGCCAACAGTACTTTTCCGTTCGAGTTGAACCCTCCTATAGTACTTCTCCAGTAAGCACCTTCACATACAATGAACATAGTAAAATCCACTGCTCATTTTACAAACTCTTCCTGGCAGTCGAGAGATATACACATCCTCTGGATCAGGCGTTTGCCAAGTACAGCTGCCAGTATCGATCTGATACCTATTAACCCATAATGATGCCAAGATATCAATCTTTTTGAACATGAATATGGTACAGAAACCTTGCGGTGCAAATTCCATAGTCGCATGAAGATGAATTAGATGGGACCCGAAGCAAAGAATTTATCAACCCTCCCTGGCTAACAGTACTTCTGACATGGACGCATTATTCATTAATAGCCAAAAGACCCTGTATGGTGCTAGACTAGTTCCATGCGTCGGAATCATATTACCAATCCTGCAGGATGACAGCCTTATCACACCATACTCATGCAGGGATAACCTATGTTACACATCGGATGCAGCCACCCGCCCAATCATCATGATGACAATCTTATCCATCTAATCCATCTTACAGGCACAATCGCATTTCATCTAATCAATTGGAATCTCATTATTTACAATACCCTAACATACACAGAAACCGGAAACACCAACAAAGGAAAACTCCTATCCATCCTGCCTAAAATCCTTGGATACCATAATCCCATGCAACGGCACCTCATCCCCTTCCTCGCCATTGCCAAGCCTACCACCACCACCTCCTCCAACCAACCCACTCGCTCCCCTACTCCCCCTAATATTCGTGACCGTCAGGCCGCGATCGTGTTTCGGCCGCAACACCGCATCCAACTTGATCTGCTTCTGTGTGACGCCCACACCTCCCTCGTCGTCAGGTAGATGGTAGAAGGAGTGGCGATTGGCGCGCGCCGCCGTCATGCCCGCCGTGCTGCCCGTGCTGTCAGCGGGCATCTGGCTATCGCCGGACTTGGAGAGTGGAGAGGTGCGACTGCGGAATAGAGCAGGCACGAGGGCGGATTTGAGGCCGAGTTTGCGGGCGGCGAGTTGGAGCGCTGGACGCAGGGTGGGGAGACAGGCGGAGACGATGCCAGCGGACATTTCGATTGCCGTCCAGCCGACGGTTGGGGCGAGGGTGTAGCTTGAGTCAGCGGAAGTGTAGCTGAATAGGACGGTGAAGCGGTAGGCGGAGGCGAAGATTACGCTGTTTTTGAAGGTGTTTGGTTAGTGGGTGGTAATATATCAAGGGAGAGAAGGGGGTATTACAAGAAACCCAGGCCAAAGGCGACAGTGAGAGCGATCTTCTCGGACAGTCGGAGCTGGAGCTTCCAGACTTGCGGGAGAGGGAGGAATAGGATGATGAGGTCTGTGGCGATGGTGGAGGTTGCGTTGGCGATCCAGGTGCCGACTTGACTGATGCAGTGGCCGGGGAGACTGGGGTACCAGAGTTTCTGGACGGGGACGCAGATGAAGATGAATAGGAAAGTGATGCAGATGACCCAGAGAATGACAAAAGTGCCGATGGCGTAGGCCCATTTCTTGAAGTAAGGGAAGCGGAAAATGCGGTAGTACATAAGGAGAATGCTGAGCTTGGTCCAGACCAGGTTGAAGACGTAGAGGATTTCAGCGACCACGAGATATTTGGCAATCAGGATGATTTGAGAGGCAGGGAGTTTGTCGGCGTGGATTCCCATGCCCTCGTGAATCATGGCAAAGATGAAGCCAACGACAATGAAGTTCCATAACTGCGTTTGGATTATTAGCTGCATGCATGAGTGTAGTAGTATTGAAGAGAGAAACCCTACCATAGAGAAAATAATCATCCAGTCATCCCACCATAATTTCTGCTTGCGTTCTAAACGGGAGATCACCCGCAGAACAACACAAATAAAAGCCAACACCGTCACAGAGACCGTGGTGGCCGTGGCCCATGGCTGGAGATCTTGCTTCTCACCCATCGCCCCGGACGGAGACACATACACACGCAGTTCAAGCACCAGCACCAGCACCAGCACAGGGACAGGAACAGGAACGGGTGGTCCCACGCCCGTCAGGGCGAGAGCGGATTATTTAATATAGCAAAGGCATTAAGACGGGAGAAATGGATCATGCAGAATGAGTGAAATCTTCAGCAGCAGGCCAGGATGCGGCAGAGGGTCCCCACTCGGGCCAGGCGCCAGACCACACAAACTTCAGTGCGGATCCAACACTTACCCATTCAGCAGATGGCAGCCGTGACCAACGAATCATCCACAAGTGATCCCCCCAGGTCTGACCTGTCAAATACTCAATTTTTGATGTTTTGAACGCGCGGGAACTGGTCCGACTGTGCCGGTCTGTCGCCAAGGCCACGCCAGCCGCGACCGGTTCGCTTTAGTTGCGACCAATATTGGACTCCTTGCCTTCTAGACTGTTTTGCTTTTTACAGGCACACGCCCGGATTCGATCCGGGGGTGACTCTCGAGCCTCGAATCTCGTGTCCATCGGATTCCTTCCCGGTGGACTAGTTGATTAGTTTACTCGATAGAACTTTTTAGCTCAGGCACGCGAGATAGACCCGTCCTTACATGAATATTCTCTCGTATATACATATAGCTCTGATCTACAGAGTCCTACCCAGTATGGGGGTTGATAAGGTTGAATCGCGCTTACGCCCCATATTTCTGAACCATCTCCAACACCGCCGCATTGACTTCCCGCGGGTTCGTCGCATTCAGATAATGCGCTCCTTCCTGCACCTGCACCAATTTCGCCTCCTTGGACCTGGTGAACTTCGAGATCTGCTCGCTTGCCACCGTTGTCTGGAAAGGGGTATCTTCCGTGCCCTAAGGATAGTAGTTCGTATTAGCCCCACCCCCAACCAAACCGAACCGAACCGAACCATTGCAACAACTTCCCCGATGTGTCTTGGAAATAAACTCACCTGCAACCAATAAACCGGACACTGCACATCTCCCAGCCTCAACACCAACGCATCCCTCGTCAACAGACACATCAGTGCCATGCGCACCTTCTTCCGTCCTTCATCGCCCTTGTAAACTTCCTTCAGGACATCTTTCCAGAATCCGACCGTCTCTTCTGTCGCGCCCTTCCCGAAGCCAATGCCCCCGACCATGCCGCACCACACATCATCCACGACAAAGTCGGGGGTGGGTGTCGCACTGCTCCATTTCTCCAGGAATGGGGTCAGCAGCGTTACGGGATCCCAGCAGCCCTTGGTTCTGGAATCGGAGGACTCGTAGTCCATGGATGTGCCGAGAGGGAGGACGCCCAGGATCTACCACCATCATTCACACGCAATTAGTACAACACCACTGTCAAAATATGGCCCATCATCATCGACGAAACATCAAAGTCAATGGAAAAGAAAAACGGGATATACATACCCTCTTCGGCGCCAACAGCGCCATGCGCATAACAATCCACCCACCCTGGCTGGTTCCCAGAGTGAACGCCTTCTCAATACCCAGCTTATCCATCACCTGCAGGGCCATGATGGCCGTATCCCAGTAAGTAAAGTGCTCGGCAACATGGCAGTGCGTGGCACCATGACCGAGAGGTTCAATAGCGAGGAGATTCGCCGCGTTAGTAAGAGTCTCGTCGTTGAATTGGGGCTCGTAGAGAGCAACAGTCATGCACATGGAATTGATGAGCACTACGGTCGGCTTGGCGGGGTCGTAGGTGTTGTTGTTGCTGAGGCGGTAGCCGACGTCGATGCCGCCCAGATGAGGGACGGTGATGGTGGTAGTAGCGGCCATGTTCTCCTTCTTTCTTTCCAGTGAACGATAATGTGGTATGTGTAAAGGAGAGGAGATAGATAGATAGCGCTCTACTCAAAAAGGAGGTGAATTTGAGGAGGGGTAAGCTTTGGTGATGGTATCACGTGGGGCCAACCCTGAACTCTACTCAACAACAACAACTCAACTGTCGTTGTCGTGTCAAATCAATAGTCTAATTCATTTCTTCGTACCAGGTACAACTTACCGCGCGGACAAGAACCAAGGAACCAACCAACAAACAAACATGAGCGGGGGATGGGGATAACTCCTTCCCGAAACTGACACTGACAGGCCAAATGACACTTCATTTGAACGGAGGAGCTACCCTTTTCGGATAGCAACCCTGACTCCATCTCCAACACAAGAAACACCTCGGAGGCTAGCCTACAAAAGCCAGAAAGTTAAACCCTAACTGTAACTCGCCTCACTACGGAGTATCTATTAGTACTGCATTGTACCTCGGCCTCACCCCGAACCCTTCCCGAGTCTCAACCGAGACAAAAAAGAAAAAAGGGATCCGCAGGGCTGGGTCCCTGCCACGCGCTCGATTGGTTCCTGCAGCTCAGATTAAACTTCTGATGGGCGTTTCGGGCGCTTTTTAGCGGGTAAGCCACTATGCAGGGGGGTGTGAAGCAGGATAGATAGCTTTTTGTGTTTGTCACACTGGGGACTGACTCGCAACTCATCATGTCATCAGGTTCAAACAAAGGTATTAACTTTGATTAATAACGGTCGGAACAAACGGAGAAAGGGAGAAGGACCGTGGAACACAAACTTATGACAGGAAAACTTAAGCTTAATGCCGCGTGGTTGGTGGGGAGAGTTATTCGTCATGGTGGGTTTGCAGCTTTTGCCATGTGCCGAGGGTTCCGGCATAGTAGAAGAATTTTTTTTATGATTATGAAACATGAAGATGCACGGGCATACAGACATCATGCGATCGTAATCAAATCATATCATACCATATTCATAACTAGCCCGCTGCTATAAGACAACTCGATTATACCTTCTCTTCGTGGGAACTGCTTCCCTTCTCCCCATCATCAGCCACCTCCTGACCATCTTCCACCACCCTCTCCTCCGGCACCTTCGCCCACCCGATCTTCCACCAACTCTTCGTAAACAACTCCTCCATTCTCTCCATACTCCGTCCCTTGCACTCCGGGAACCCAACCCCGGCCCACACCGTCGCGAGCGTCGTAAACGCCGTGAACAGCGCAAACGGGCCCCAAGACTGCATACTCTCAGTCATACTGGGGAACCCGCGCGTAATACCGAAATTAAGCAGGTTCTGGTACGTGAAAGCAATCGTCACCACCGTGCCGCGAATTCGGGTCGGACAGATCTCCGATGCCGTGAGGGAGAATACCGGGGCCCAGCCGAAGCCGTAGCCTACAGCGTAGAGGCAAATTGCGACAATGCAAACATACGAGGCGGCGGAAGGGGAAGCTGTTCCGGATGAGGAAGGTGGACTGAGGGCAAGGTAGCACGTCAGGTACAACAGACAGACGACGTTGATGGTGGAGCCGATCAGCAGGAGAGGACGCCGGCCGAAGCGTTCCGTCAGGAACCAGGCGTAGAAGAAGACGGAAAGGACCTTGACGAGGCCGTAGATAGCGGTGAAGAGGAGGATTTGGGAATGGCCCAGGCCGATGGATTCCAATATGTCTGGGGTGTAGTAGGTGATGCTGTTGCCACCGGACATAATAAAGAAGGTTTGGATGAGGGTGACGAAGAGGAGGATTTTGCGGGTGGGTGGGTGGTTGATGCATTCATGGAGAAGAGATACGAAGGCTTTGGTGGGAGTGGTGGGAGTGGATGTGGTGTCGAGTTTGCTGAGGAGTTCGGTGTATTCGCGTGCAAAATACTCGGTGTTTTCGTCCATGCCGCCACGGAGTCGAGACAGGCTGCGACGGGCGGCGTCGACGCGGCCGCGCATCATGAGGTAGCGAGGGCTTTCGGGGAAGAAGGGGTATCCGAGGAAGAGGATGATGGCCGGGATGGATTGCAAGACGAGTGTGGTACGCCATTGCCAGCTGGAGCTGTCGGGAATGACTAGATACGAGGCGTAGTTGATCCAGTAACTTCCTGTGACGCCGCTCATGATGCTCACGTTGTAGAAGGTGGTCATCATTCCGCGTAGCTCGAGGGGTGCAACCTCAGAGATGTATACTGGGCCTGCTGACATTCCCAGTCCAGACCCTAATCCGGAAAGAACACGCCCGACGAGGAGTTCAGCAAAGGATCCCAGGTTGGCAGCCATGAGAACGGCTCCGATCGCATAGCAGATGGCGGCAGCGAGGATGACTGCCTTTCGGCCGCGACGTTCTCCTAGTGGACCTGCGAGCAAAACTCCGACGGTTTGGCCCTGTATATAATAGCACTTGCTTAGTTCGTGCACTTCATGGGACTATAGAATCACATACCAGTAGCATGGAGGATACCACCCAGCCCTCATTGTTCGAAACAGCCGTGCTGGAAAGTTTATCCCAGCCAAAATCTGGATCCCATTGCTCCATCTGCATAGAACCCGAAATATTGGACGTGTTGAAGCCATGCAGACCACCGCAGTACGACGCCCAAATAATGGCCAGCCAGATGTATAGTCCACGAGCCGCAGGAGGCACCTGTTTGATGGCTTGTGGGGAGAACCCGCCGCCTGCTGCTCCCATGCTGAACTAATAGTATGAGTTTGGGGGAATTTTTCGACGGAGAGAGATCCCAAGTTACCAGAACTGGGCTGTCAACATGCAATTGACAACTCAGGCAAAGGGATCTACTAAATACCCCAGGATATCACGGCCGATGCAACCAAACGCATGATCAGTCCACATCTGCAGGTTTGGGGGGTAGCAGCCAATCCAATTTGGCCGGATGTCATCCGCTGCCAGCCAAGTCTGGGGTATGCGGATCCTATCCGGGGTTTCTCTTGGGTTACTCCGGCTGGCCGGAGCTGTCCATGAGAACAATACCCTGCGCACTGACATGGTGGCTTTGTGGTACTGCCAATGAGAGCAGCGCTTTAGTCGTAATGCTGCTTTTGTGGAACCTCGGGGATAGCATCCAAGACGGAAGATACTGCATATATATAGGCGGCTATATTTGGGCTCAACATATTGTTGAATGTACTTTTCGATCATTCCTAGATACAGTTAGCCCGGAAATTATGTTCAAGCTAGGCTATAGAAAGTAATCTCAGTCGTATACTGTTGATTTATATGTTGAAGAATACTCCTAGACTGCCTTCCAGGGTATCCCCGTGGTATCTTTCGAGATCCTCTTTCGCTTAGAGACGCACTAGAACACATCTGAGTCGTCTTTTTAAGGCACCTTTTAGGGCACCTGCAAGGCAATCACCTAGATACTTTCTAGATAACATCCGAGGCCGAGCTCCCGGAGCATTATCTGGGTGCTATGAGACTGCTACGGAGGCGAGCCCTAAAGTAATTGAATATGTAGGATTAAAGCAAGTCTCGTTTTCCTGCTTAGGTAGAGTGCGTCTGAGTGAATCACATAATGGAGTCTCTCCGAGATTGCTTACTGTGAAGTCCATTTGGCGAGATGGTAAATCCAAAAAGAAACTTACCATTTATATATACAAGTTTTCTATACATTTAATTCATTTACTTCTCTGAAAACAATCATGAGCTATGTACCGTGGCCTTAATATGGTTCAAGGCACTGCCAGCCCGAAGCCACGGGAGCTGTCCGGCATGATAGCTGTGGCACAACTCAGCCTCCCAGCTGTCTCCACGTCGCGGAGTAACCCGCATGGTAACATTCTTGCCCGGTTGCAGCTCTCCATCTTCTACACCAATCAGAGTGATGCGATCTCCCTCCTGCACTCGGTCGTAGTCAGCAGGATCAGCGAATGTAAGTGGGAGCATTCCCTGTTTCTTCAAGTTCGTCTCGTGAATACGAGCGAAAGACCGGGCGATGATGGCAACGCCACCGAGGAAGCGAGGCTCCAGTGCGGCATGCTCACGCGAACTGCCCTCACCATAGTTGTTATCTCCGACCACGCACCAACGAATAGAGCGGTGCTTCAAGTCCCGAGCCACTTCATGAGTAAGCTGGACCTCGTTCGTCAGCGGATGTCTCGTGTGGCCTAGCATCTGCGGGTCGTTGTCTAAGAATGCATTGGTTGCGGTTGTGAGCATGTTGTGGCTAATGTTCTCCAGATGGCCACGATACTTGTACCACGGACCAGCCGGTGAAATATGATCCGTCGTACATTTGCCCTTGACCTTCATCAGCAACTCCATGTCACTAGCACTTCCGCTCTTCCAAGCTGGGAAGGGCTCCAAGAGCTGTAGTCTGTCGGACTTCACATCGATGATAATGGAGTAAGAGGAGCCATCTGACGGGGGCTCTTGGAAGCGATCTGCACCAGGATTGAATGATTCTGGCAATTCCTGGCCTATGGGAGGTGTAAGCCGCAGTGGCTGGAATCCTTCCACTGAGATACTGTCGGTGACAGGGTTAAAGTCCAGGCGGCCAGCATAAGCAAAGGCCGTGACCAGCTCCGGCGACGTGACAAATGAGTGAGTAGCCGGGTTGCTGTCATGGCGCCCCACAAAGTTACGGTTGTAGCTGGAGATCACAGAGTTCTTCTCTTTTCCGCGGACATCCACGTCCTTGCGGTCCCATGACCCGACACATGGTCCGCACGAGCTGCTGAGAACCATAGCACCGGCGTCTTCGAGATCCTTCAGAATACCAGCCTCTTCAGCGGTGGCCCGGATTCTTTCGCTGCCCGGCGAGACCAAGAAAGGAGTTTTGAACTTAGTTATCCCGGCCGCCCGGGCTTGATTGACCAGCTGCCGGGCCTTGTCCAAATCCTCGAAGGAACTGTTGGTACAGCTACCCACCATGGCGTGGCTTAGATTCATTGGCCAATCACTCTCAGCGACCGCAGTAGCCAGCTTTGAAATGGGGTGGGCGAGATCCGGTGTGAATGGGCCGTTAACATGCGGCTCCAAAGTGTTCAGATCGATCTTGATGATTTCGTCATAGTACTCCTCGGAGCCCTTATCGGCGGTGAGCAGAAGGTCTTTGACTGGGTTTGCCGCTTCTACAACATGTCCGCGGGCAGTGGCACTCAAATAGCGAGCGATCGCATCCGAATAAGGGAAAATACAAGAAGTCGAGCCAATTTCCGCAGACATGTTGCAAATGGTGGCCATAGCTGTCGCGCCCAGAGTCTCGGTACCCGGGCCGAAGAATTCAATGATGCGGCCTTTTCCGCCAGACACGCCAAGTATTCCTGCCAACTTGCAGATAATGTCTTTTGTTGATGCCCAGCCTCGGAGCTCACCCGTAAGTTCGACTCCAATTACTTTGGGTGCGACCAGCTCCCAAGCCATTCCCGACATAGCGTCGACAGCATCAGCTCCGCCAACGCCGATTCCAAGCATGCCCATTCCGCCTGCATTGGGGGTATGAGAATCCGTTCCAATAATCAAACCTCCTGGCCTATATTCCAAAAACTTCAGCCATGGTAATCGCGGGGCTCATGTGGTAGACATACATCGCATAGTTCTCGAAGATGACAGTATGGATGATTCCAGATCCAGGCTTCCAGAAGCCGATCCCGTACTTCTTTGAAGCGCTACTCAGGAAGTTATATACCTCTGCATGTTCTGTGGTCGCACGCTGCATATCCTTGTCCGCGCCGTTCTCCGAGATTATCAGATGATCGCTGTGCACTGTTGTCGGTACCTGTACGCGCGGAAGGCCTGCGCTGATAAACTGCAGCAAGGCCATTGTTGCGGTCGCATCATGGCAGGCGACTCGATCGGGGCGCAGCTCCAAAATGGTCTTTCCCCGGGCAATCTTATCAATATTCCAGCGACCGCTATCCGTGTCCAGTAAATGACTGTATAGGGTCTTTTCGGCTAGTGTGAGCGGGCGATTTGATCCCTGCTTAATCGCTTCGATGGCACGAATCTGTTTGGGGTAATGAACACCCAGAATCTGTCCAATGGCCAGTATTAGCGTCAACTACTCTGGGTTGAGATTGAGGCGCACTGACTGGGTTACCTGAAACGGTTGTCGCATAGTTTCGGGATCCGTTCAGAGAGAGCGGTCGGTATGATGCTTTCAGCATCGGTAATCTCTGGCGACATCGCTGCATTGTGCTGACTTGAGTATCGAGATACAAATATCAGCCATTGAGGAAAAGGAATCTACAAAGGATATCCTCGACTTCGATCGCAGATTGCGTAGGTCAAGCTCTGTCTCCGGCCGAGGCAAAAGGGCAGGACTACTCCGGACCCGGCTTCGGAGCTATCCGAACAATGTCTAAGAGCATCTGCCCCGGGCTACTCCAGAATGCGGGATGGCCCGTCGGATGGCCCGATTGTCTCCCCGCTTTTGTAAGCTGTCCGGACCACTACCATTTACCTTCTGGGGCCACCGTCTTGCCCTTTCGCATCCCCGTACTATCAATACAATCGTGAACAAGTAGCTATGGCAGTCAGACCAAACGTCCTCAGCGCGTTGCGGCGCTTCACCTCTTGTGATGTAAGTTATACCGTTCAGCACGACTCTGGCTTGAGCTCAACCAATCCCTTCAGGTCGGCGACGCCCTCGTCAAGCTCGGAGTCCCTCAGGGCGGCTATTTATCCGGTCTCAAAATGTACTCTCCGGATTTCATGTCACCCACAGCAAAGTTCCTCGGCCCGGCATACACAGTGAAAATGGTGCATGCCTCGGACAAGGTTTCGCCAACGCCTAAGGTTCATTTCGCCGATGCCGTCCCCAAAGACAGCGTTGTATTTGTGTCACAACCGAGAGGCTTGATCAGTGCTTGTTGGGGAGGACTCATGAGCACTCGGGCTCAGAAACGTGGTGCTGCCGGAGTTATCATTGATGGCAAATTTCGCGATATCAATGAACACCGGGAGCTGGGAATGACCCTGTTTGCGCGCGACATTAGCATTTTGGGATCCAACTCTTTCACTCGTTCTTCTGAATTGGATGTACCAGTTACCTACGAGAACTCAGAGAATGGGGGGCAGGTTGTTATTAATCCTGGTGATTATATCCTTGGAGATGCGGATGGGGTGGTTGTCGTTCCGCCTGAAAAGGCAGAAGAGTGCGTGCGCCTCTGCCAGGAACGCTTTGATATTGATGAGGAGACACGGCGTTGTCTGGAACAGGGTGATGAAATAGGGAGCACTATCAAGAGGCTGAGGAAATAAGCTAGCCGTGAGATCCAGCTTGTTTTGAGGGTCTGTATTGTCCTTCTCGCAGACTTGTGAATAGCCTTGAAGTAAAATACTGATGCCTCTATGGACTGTATCGGAATGTATAGTATATGAGACACACTGTGGTATTCGTTTTATATAGTCTGTCGGCTCCGATCGACAAAGGCCTTGGGATGGGGGTAACGGTGATAACAGACTGGTGTGCTTTCACAAGGTCGCTGTGCCTGAGAATGGGTCCCAGCCCCAGTCTCCGCGGATAAATTCGGCGAGAAAGCTCTCCATCGCAGAGTCAATGGAACATGTGTCAGTAACATCCATGCCATTCGGGTTGGGAAACAACAATCCAGGTTCTCCGAAACCAAGATCCAAATTGTCTCCTAAACAAGCAGAGACATTAGCACCCAAAGTGAATAGTACGCCCGTGGATGTAAGTTATGCCGAAAATACTCACCTGTAGAGTCATGAAACCCTGCATTGGGGAGACCACCGAGCCCTTCAGGGTGGCGGGATGAGTCTTCCGTTAGTTGGATACTCGAATTATTAGGAAATTCGGGAACCAAACTGGAATCGTGTAGATCAGGTTGACAGCCAATCTCAGCATGTTGGGTGTGTAGTGAGCCCCGCATTTTTGATGGGGAGGTCTGAGTACGACTTAACTGCCGTATAGTAAGGTCGACCATCTTGTCGAAGCTTCCCTTGCCATTACGTACAGAAGGCCACCACTGACCACCGATACTGAGGAGGTTGGAGCAGATCCGCAGATCCCTCAATACCTCCGCGAACGGGGTGGTGGCCTGAAGAGAGGGTGATGCCCAGATGCAGTAGATCAGTGTCGCGCCCGAGGAAAATATACCGTGAATGTTTCGCCAGTTGTATAATAGCTGTTCCTCTGCACTGAGATGATCGTATATGCGTAACTTTCGACTGCAACTTTGATAGCACTGTTTTAGAGCACTTGGCGATGGCGAACGGAATGCTTGGGAAGGCTGAAAAAGGAGCGTTATTGCTGAGTGATACAAAATCTCCAACCTGAGTTTCTCATGCTCAACGCTTTTTCTGTCCTCTTCTCGGTCAGTCGGCGGTTGTATGAGAGATGTCTCGGTTAACCATGTGTCAAGGTCAAGCTTGATCTGTGCCTGATGGTTTTCAAGGTCATTCGGCCACACGAGCGGGCGAAGCTTTTTGGGTAAATGATAGAAAAGGAGCTTTATCTCAGTTATGTACTGATCCAGTCTGAAACGACGAATGGACATTGTCATATGGGGGGATGATGGCGCTGAAACATGGAGTTGGCAATTTCCAATCATAGACAATTCTTCACTGACATCTTCTACTTCGGGACGTTGCATATCAAATGTTTCATCCCTAATACCTAAAGGACGGCCTTGGATGGTGGCTATTGTTCTATGACCTTGTTAGGCTCAAGCGTATCGGGGAACATGAATGATTTCCGTACCGATCGAGGGAGTATGTTGTATAGAATATCAGCCTCTTGACAGCCAGAGACGTTCTGGAAACGCGCGTAGACGGGCTAGGTTCTCGATGAAGGCCCAAGTCAATGCAATGCGACATTGCTATATGTGCCAGTGTCCAAATATTCAGGCCAGCCGGGCAGATCATGCTATGAATCGCCAAGAGTAATATACCCTGCAGAGATGTCACTGACACGGAGGAGAAGCAACTAGATGTTTCCGCTAAGGCCATTCTGTAGAATTTTGTCGGGGAGTAATCAAAGTTCTTTTTGCGCGTTAGTACGGTCGCTGCCAGAGAGAAGACCATGAAGACATGAAACACGGCTGTAAATACTGATATCGGCGTAGACGGTTTGCCGCTTTCATGATCAGCCATGCCATTGTACTCGAAGGGTTCCAGGCCTTCCATCCACCCGTTACTATCGTATTGGCCTGTGGGTTCCATCTGTGTGCTCTCATACAATGCCAAATACGCATTGACTAGCGAAGGCGCATGGAGAACGGGGTAGTCAATATGTATATGCTGGAAGTAGACCGCAAATAAGATTTCAGCTTCCTCGGGGGGAGGGAGTTCCTAAATATATGATGAGAAGCGTGACCGGAAACCGAGGGGAGCGACAGACCCTTGTCAAGCTCTGGTACAGAGAGCGATAGCCTTGCTTCAAGGCTTGAGAGATTGAATGCTTCCCATACTTGCTAGTTTCACTATTGGATGATGGGCTGGATACCTGTGTATCTCTATCCACTCCAATCAGCTTCGTGAACAGCAGTCCTGAGGAAGAACCCATGTAGTGCTGTTGTCGGGAATCTGAATGTAAGGACAGCATCCCAAATGCATTTGCCACAGATGATGCTTCTGCACGTGGGGTCTGGTCAGGTTCTGGGTCCTCAACTAAGTCGTATGGTCGTTTTCTTGTGGCTGGCTTGTCGCGACTCTGTGTGTCAGTCTCCAGCATAGAAGTGACAGCATTGGCACAATCGGAAACCCCCGAGCTAGACGCCAATGTCAATTCATTCTCACCCATATTCACGGATGGCCCTTTGGTCAGATCGAAGTCCGGGTCCAAAAGCTTGATCTGTTGTTCGAGCCATGTGAGTCTGGCACGGCATTGCGCGATGAAACTGGGACATCACAGGACAATTAGTGCGGCTGAGGGCACAGAAGCCACGGAGGGTGAGAAGATCTTACTCGCGAGGAATCGAGATATCACGGTTCCGACCATCGACATCGATACAAGGGACCCTCGCTCGCGCGCAATTGCTGCATGCGGGGATGCCGCCGTCACACTCCGGGGAAGGTAATTAGCAAAGATGCACAGTCACAAGCTTGGCAACATGAACATGAATGTGGGCCAACCTTGACGCGTTTAGCTCGACACCGACGACAGGCGATCCGGACTTTCTTCGGAGCAGGAGACCCCGGGCGCTCTATGTCTCGGGGACTCATCTTGGAGTTTTGCGAGATGATGTGTGCAAAAGCACGATGAACCAGCGTAACGGCAACATGCGACCGGCCGGATTTGTGGGGGAAAGAAGCGGAATGCCGGGGGCGGCGGGTGACATTTGACTCGGCCGTCGGCACATGATTTACTCCACAACCGTTTTGGTTCCTGCTTCTTTTCTCTTCTTCCCCCCTTGCAAACCCTTTATAACTTCAATGTGCGATACTGATGACCACAATGTATGTATTGCTAGCTTTAAGCTTTATCTTTCTTGACTGATACTGCTGTCAAGTTTCTAGTACCTAGTAATTTTCTCTTATGCGAAACTACATATATTGAGTACTGTTAGTGGATCGTATGAACCTCATAGGGGGGTGTGACAAGTTTGGAGCCTTCAGCTGCAGAAATGATGATATCCTCTAGCTTACTGTAGCAGGCGCCACTTTTCTCAATTCACCAGATTGACAGGACTTTATATGATGTTTCTGAACCGCATGTCCGACGGCCTCCAGCGCTGCATATCATCTGCAGATCAGACCTAACCGCAGATACCAGATTCTTACGGTGCTAACACTAAACCGGAAGATACTACAGCCAGGAGGATCGGGGAGGCCAATCTCTTGTCCATTTATCAAAAGACAAGTCTTTATCAAGACAGGATTGCAGATCACAACCAACATGGTATCGAGGGGAGATTGTATGTTGTGTTGCATGAGACCCCCGGTACATGGACAGGGTCGCTCCGGCTGCCGTTGGGACCCGGAGTAACCCGCAATCCCGAAATGGATCCGTATACAGACAAGGCGAGCCGATCAGACTTACAAATATGAAATAACGTGTAGCTCCCAGATCCCTTCCAATGATTTTGTTCCCCCGATATTCCTCGAAGGTATCAAATTTGCTAAACTCTTCCCAAAGCCCATCATGACCGTCGAACACCAACCATGCCCGGAACCGGTGCTGTTTCCGAACGGTGGTTGGGACGTCCACCACCACATATTCGAGCGTATGATTTTGGACTTCCCTCATAAGCTAAACCCTCCACTAAGTAACATCATACTGATGCGATCGTATGTGTAGCGGCAAAATTCGCCTACGCTCCTGACAGACATCTCACTCCACCGCCCGCGACCGTCGAGCAATTTCTCGCCTTTAAAAACAAAATTGGGATCACCAATTCGGTTCTCACGCATGGTTTATCATATGGGTCAGACTGTACATCTCTCAAAACATTTGTCCGCGAATTAGGGGAGTCGGGAACGAGGGGTATTGGAGTCATTGACCCAGAGACGACAACACCAGAGGAGCTCCAGGATATGCACGCAAGGGGCATCCGAGGTATTCGAGTCAACTTGTACCAATACCAGGCAATGCACGATGTGGAACGGCAGAAACAAGCTTTGCGTGCCCACATCAGAGCTATTAAGCCACACTGTCCAGGATGGAGTATAGCATTCACTCACGTGCATCCCGAGTTCTGGGGTGAGCTAAAGCCTATCATCGAGGAGGAGATGGGGTCCTCCAGCCTTCATCTGGTCACTGATCACTTTGCATTGCTCAAGGCCGCTAGTATGCTGCCTGCAGAGTACGAGGGAGATATCACTCGACAGCCCGGGTTTACGGAAATCATGGATCTGGTCCGTTCTGGACTTCTATACGTGAAACTTAGCGCGCCATACCGCGTGAGTCATGAAGCACCGTGGTATGCAGACGTGAAGCCACTGGTGCGCGCTTATGTGGATGCCAACCCGCGACAGATTCTTTGGGGAAGCGACTGGTGAGTATTTCAGAATAAGCACTATCATGATTCGCTGCTAACATTGGTTCTAGGCCTCATACCCCGCATATGAAGGTTCGTACGCGTGAAGAAGCACTGACAGAGACCCCATATCTGGTCATCGATGACGCGGAATGGCTGAAGAGCTTGCGGTCCTGGGTTAGTGCAGAGGAGTGGCAGGCGATCATGGTGTCCAACCCCACAAGACTGTATGACTGGTAAAGCTGCGTTTTATTGCGACGATAAAATATGAGAGTATGGCGGTTATGCCACATGATAGATAACTAATCTCTTATTGAACTACGTAGAGCTCGTAAATGCTCAACCCCGGCAGAGAAGAACCAGAAAGTACACAACAAAGCAGGGGATCGGAAGAACCGTGACACGCTTAATCCGTTTTGGGCATAGCTGGTATTCGGGATTCAGCGGTATCTCCGACGTCCGATTTCCGACCGTCGAAAGGTCCACCTTTTGCAGGTCACATTTGTCCTGAAGAAAATAGTCTTATTCTGGTCCCTGATTTAGTATATATCTGCCAACGTAACCCATTTTCCCTTGACGGTACCCGTGCTGTGAAACCTCCATCTAATCTTTGGAGCAATTGATCTATTTTATCAAAATGGATCCAAGGGTGACTGACGATCGTCATCAAGCGGGTCCCCAACCAACAAACGCGGCTTGGAATCCGAGTCCATCTCAATCCTCCACTACCGGGCTTGGCGCAACGCAATCCCTCTTAAATATTCCTCCAGACCATTGCTTCCTCATGAAATACATCCTTGACACGCACAATGTCGGCCTCTATGCCCTCTAGCTATCGCTCCCTCAACTTACCAAACTCCCTGCCCCCGCTAAATCAGTCGTGCGAGAATTGTAGGGCGCTCAAAGTACGCTGTCTGCCGGATCCCAACGTCCCGCGCCAGTGTCAGCGCTGTACCCGCACGAGAAGAACCTGCGTGTTCGCCCGCACGCTCCGACGACAGCCACGGAAGAAGACTGGCTCACGAGTGGCCCAGCTGGAAAGGGACGTGCGAGATTTGCGCTCCCTGTTACATGACCAGATCCGACCGGATTCAGACCGCGGGGGAAAGGCAGATGATGCCGCGGCCGCGGCCGTAGCTACTGACCCTCCGGGGGCGTCTGGCCGCGACGTAGCGCCCTTGCCCGCCCTCTCATCATCCACGCGCATAGAGCCCCCTATTGTCCACAACGCCTCTGCTCAGGGTGACTCAGATCAGCATACTGGGAATCCTCCTGCCGAGCCTGCTCCCGCCAACAGTAGCCTGACCCTGATGCAGTCGCCAGCTGGCTCTGGGGACGTGGTTGATCGCGGCATCGTATCGCTTGACATGGCGCAAACGTTGGTCTCATTCTTTATCAACGAACAGATGCAATTCTACCCAATGATTGTACTGCCATCAAACACAACTGCGGAATCATTACGCAGAACGAGCCCGGTGCTTTTCCTGTCTATTCTAGCTGCTTCATCAATGACCTTAAACCCTCACTTGGCGGAGACTCTGAATGAGGAGATGCTCAAGGTCTATGCAGAACGATTTTTCCTCAGGCAGGAAAAGTCAGTGGAGCTGATTCAATCAATCCTCTTGATGCTTATCTTTTATTTTCCCCCAAAGTCGCGTTTACAGGGTCAATATTACCAATACACACACATTGCGACCACCATGACTCTAGAGCTTGGTATAGCAGCAGGACCGGCGGGACGAAAAAATTACCGTTGTCATGGCGGATATGGTGATTTACCAGCTTCCATCCATAGTGCCCAGGCGCGCGCCGTACTGGGCTGCTATCACTTCGCGTCCAAGTATGGGCTCTATGACTATCACGTAGTTGTTACACGACTGACCTAGCCGTAGCATAGGGATTCGAACGCATCGACCGAATATGCTCCGCTTCAACGATGTGATAGACGGGTACATACACCACCTGAGAGAATCTACACTCGGCCTAGATCAGCAAATAGCAACATGGTTTGGCCTTCAGCGGATCGTTGACGATACACTATCCTCACTGGGCCAGGACAATACCCTAGTGGATATCTCTCTTCGTGAGTCGCAGATGCTTCCAATCCTGAATTGGTTCGATTCTCGGATGCTTCATTGGAAGAGGACGACCCCGAAAAACATGCTCACAAGTAAGTTGCATCCACACATAAATGGAATCATGCTTATACAATAATTCCCAGCATGGATGAACCTGGAATATCACCACATGTACCTCGCTATTTACGAACTTGCCGCTGGTGAAAGCTACCGCGACCCCGACGCCCCAACCCGCAAATACTACACCCTCCCACCTTTAGAAGGCGACATGGAAAGACACAAAGCAAACGCACCTATAACAGCTGCCCGGGTCCAGATAATAACGAAATGGCTACTGGCCTCCCACCAGATGCTAGACGCGTTCTTAGGATGCGACACCTCTACCATGCGCAAGCTACCTAACATGACCTACACCCGAATGATCCTGGGCATCTCATCCCTACTTCGGATATATCACACGGCCCAATTTGGCCCTCTCGGTGAGGTAGTCTCTTCCCAGATGATGGACGTTGACGGCTACCTGGACCGCGTCGGGCAAGCTCTATTACGAGCGAGTGGAGAGCAGAAGTACCGCGTCCCGAGCAAATGGTATCACGTTGTTGCGATCAAGAATCGAGAGTGGTTTGAACAGATCCAGAAACGGATAATTGCTCGCCCGAGTGATACACATACCTATCTACGCGGCGGAGTTCCCCCACCAGCATCGGGTGTCCCCATGTTGGACCCTCACCGCGGCCCAGGCTCAGCTGCCATACTACCCTCGCTCGGGGGTGGCATGGCGGGTCCCGCATATGCTGAACCGTGGTATGTAGACGATGCCGCGGGAAGAGTTGATCTGTCACGGTCTTTCCCTGCTGTGAATGCACCAGTCTTATATATGGGTCAGGTGCAGCCAGTAGAAGGAGATATCGGTGAGAACGCGTTTCCATTACCAGTGGGTGACGAACCGTGGCGACTGGATGAGTCGATTCAAGATAGCGTTTCATTCCCATATTGATGCCGCCAATGCCTTACATTTGGCCTGAACGGTCTGAAGGTTGATGCCAATGACTTACCCAAGATGATCTGTAAATAAACGACTGCTACGAACATCCCATTCCTTGGTTAGCGAGGAGAACAATGACAGCCTTCTTCTAGAAGATCAAATTGTGACGAAGCCCCCAAGTGCTAACATTTTCACATGACACTCATGATTATCATCATGGTTCAGTTGGAATTTTTATTCAATTCATGTATATTAGGCCCTTTTAATTCCTGATAACCTCCCGAAGTCCGGTGAGATAAATGCTATGCATTTGGGCTGGGCCTATTCACAGAGCTTGAATATCCGCTGGGGTGACCATAATCAAAGACGACGCGTCCATCACCAATGGTCCCACTTACTATACTACCAAGCCCAGTTAGTTCATTGCTCAAAATAACCTCTTGTTATTGATAGGCAATTAAACTGGAGGAGGCGGAAGTCAGAAGGAAACCACAACCGACTCCGTAGCCCTCGACAATCCCAGGTTATACTGTCTCCCGAGAGAGCAAAGGTCCTGGTCTCCGCACTACTGCTTAGGATCAACTGGCTTCAAGGCTGAGTATTAATTCCAGGATTGATGAATCCAGGCTTGTTGAAATGATATTGCGAACGTCATGCAAAGCTACTGGGCCAATTTCATCAAGAATGGCAACCCTAATGGCGAAGAATTGACCTATTGGCCACCCAGTAAGGAAGATGCGACGACTATGTGGCTTGGCGACTCTTGGGGAGCTGGAAAGGCTGCAGAGCCTACCCGAATTGATCTAATCCGGAGCTGGTTCAGCCAGAATGTCGAATGGTGCCTCGGGTGGGTCGGACTTTGGGACATAATCTGTGTGAGTAGGACAGCTTCACTAGCTTACGTGGTAGTGGTAGATATCTTATCTAGCTTGCAGTCTATAGCCCATGGCAATAGCGGACTTTGCATACGCGTAACGAGTTGAAACAATTTATTCTTATTTTCTTCTTTTTTTCTGATCATTAGTCTCAATAACCTTCTCCCTAATTCTTCCGAAAGATGCACGGCCCACGTAGATCTCGTCCTGTATTCAGTAAAATTGACACAATGGACGTAAGAAAAAGAAAACTGGAACATAATAGTCAGGGTCGTCAACCCTAACTGACCCCAGAGACTAACTAGTAGGCGGCCGCGTAGCCCTCTCCACTCTGCCCTCTAACCCGCCCTATTTACCCCATCAAAAATGCTCATACCTTGGCTGTTGGCGCCTGGAAGCTCTGATAAGATGCGATCAGTGGGCGGATGGACCCTTCCACGGAAAAGCCGGCAGGCGGAGATCGGGGATGCCACTACAACCACATCCAACGTCCGGCACAGACTTATCACAATCGTATTCGGACCGCGTCTACGCAGGCACGGATGCGTAAATACTTATCAGATCCTCGGTTAACTTCCGGTAAAGCTTAAGTTTAGTGTTGATGCTGAAACTTCTTCGCTCGGGGGTCTAGGTTAGTCCTTGCAGCAATGAAGATACTGCATATCTACTTTTTGTTCGTAGGTGCGGTGGGAGATGTAATTATCGGTAGTCTTCATGCTGTGATAGATTGACGCGTAATTTGTGGCTTACATATTTAATATACTCCGTTTATTGATCATGTTACCATATGGTGGGATACCAAAGACTTCATTAAATCGGCCTGCGATATCAAACCCTCCGCCCTATAACTACGGACCCGTTGGCCGATCAGATGTTTCAGCCAAAGAATGACAGTCTCATGGGAGTATAGCCTTCCTAGATATAATGAGCTGTGACTGGCTCCACTTGTATCCTGTACGCTCTCCAGTGTCTGGGTTATCATGGTAAGTCATACGGAAAGCGTATGCCAGCCACGCCTATGCGCAAATATTTCCAGGACAGCCATTGCCTACATGAAAATCCTGGCTTGGCCAAAGTCAATTAAGGGGTTTTCCGGGTTCAGGGTCTCGAGGGGCTTGCGCACGTGGAGCGTACGTCGCACATGGCCGCCATGTGTTGAGCTTTTCAAGAAGTCTAAATTGGTTAGGCTGAGTTATTAATCTGATAGGTACTCGCTAACAAGTAAAGACATTGTACCATGGCTGCTCGTCATCAAAGGTTTCCGCAGACGACACTTGCAGTACCAACAAGGTAATTTCAAAGTAGTGGCTTGCCTTGAGCCTGATGAGACACAAGGTCGTCTGAGCTCTTTCCTCAGATGCTATGTGACGCTATCTAACACTGTATGTTGGGAATCTTCCTACGATATGAGACAATCTCAGGCTGATCATCTTGGCTATGGTTATGGTTGGAGTACAACAGAAGCAGTTTATGTCATGGGAGATAGTCGAAATTAGGGACGTACAAGCATCATGATCATCATGAAAAATAGAAATACCACAGATAACTACTAAACACCATTACCTCTGGATACATTTGAATAGCTCGCTGCATGTGTGGACAAGATATCACCGCAGCAAGCGACCCGCTATATGTACGTCACTCCAAGTACACGCGCTGCGCCTCCGCCCCAACACAGTAACGCACCTGCAGACCTAATAATCGCAAATAGTAGTTAACTATACCCTACATCACTTCTCATCACAAGCGTATCAATTTAGCTATTAAGTAAGAGTTCCAAGATACCATCCTCAACACTCACGCCAGGCGCACATTCCAAAACGGGTATAACGACAACGTCAACTGCCCACTAATCCTTAATCTCCGTTATTTCCCATTCTGCCCTCTCAGCCTGACGGTTCCGCCATGCTTTCTGAATGATGAGGCCCAAAATCCCGCAGAGCACGATGAAGACCACGACAAAATCCAGAATCACACCGGGCTCTTCACCAGCCCAACTGCGCTTGCCGATGGTTTTGTGTGACAGGGCCGTAGCCGATCGGGGGAAGTTGATGGCTGGCATTGTAAGCTTCTTGTTCGAATGTGGAGGAAGATCGTTGAATTGGTAAGAAGCTGTGCGATGAAGTCTGCTTTGATATGATCTGCGTTATGCTTGGAGTTCTGTGTGGTATCTACTAAGGGTGTAGTACTCACATTTTTGTGGCTGGAAGGGAGTGAAGAAGTACTACCGACCAGATCTGCTATGTCCAAGAAGAATAGACGGGATAAGTGTACTAAGAGGATTGAAATTGGACCGCAGCTTCAGAAGTGTAAGCTGCCTATTGATACCCCAAACGTGAAAAGGTCAATCTAGTCTATCCCAAAAAAATACCTTGGCTATCCCACGATAATATGTAGCAGTCCAGTCCCAATGGTCAAGCAAATCTCTCACCACCCGAATTACCTTCCCGTTCCTTGACTGCGTGATTTTGTCATAGCGCTCATATCACGAAGCATGCTGCCAACGAAATCCAATAGGATATCATATTATAGTGATGTCAGCATGCGCTCCTTGAGGGTGTGAGTAGTTTATTGGCGAGGATATGACAGGGGAGTATTCCGCGGGGCAATCGCGGATTTCTCGGAAGCTTGAGACCGGTTTCTTGCCAAGTTGATGAAGGTCGGGGGGCCTATCATGGAGCCCAACCCCATATGCCGCATATCCGACAGGGTCGCATTGGTTGGTGCTGGCAGGGGTTCGGTCCGTCGGCATGGCGGGATCTGGCCGTGGTTGAGAAAACGGGGCACGGATATGGATGAAGGACATGCTTGGATTAGGTCTAGATCGTTGGTTTAAAGAACAAAGGGGTTGCTATCGCATGACGATGTATCGCGGGAGTTGAAGGCGAGAACTCTTCAATTCTATAGTGATGTTACAGTCATACTACCCTGTCTTTTTTGAAGTTGTACTCGATTAAAGGGGGTGCCTGGTAGTTACTCCGACCCTATTTGCGTCCCGTCTTTCCCATCCATTTCGTGCGTGTAAAGGGCAATGACGGGCGTGGCGATAACACGGGCCTGTGACAGAGTGGGTCAGGACCAATCAAGCTTTTGACCTCCGCACAGATCGTCGACTGACTCGTACCTTTTGCCGAACATGACATCAACAAAGCTTCATCTGACCTCTCGGGGCGTTATACTTCGTAGACAACCCTCGGACCGGCTGAGGTATTTTCAAACCATCTTGAGCCTCATCCCGATGAGCAGTAGATAGCAGTATCAAGTGAGATCGTGAGATGGTGGACAATTCCAAGGGCACATTGAGGTATTTTCAGATCACTTTGGACTGTAAGCAATGACCGAGGATCATTGCCAGCGATCCTGGGCATCATTGTGCAAGTGGAGCCACCGCTACAAGCTTCACGCCATCTCCTAATAAAACAGCCACTCGTAGATACAGTCAACGAAAATCTCTAACTCAATTTGGAATGGCCAAACATTACACAGTATCAGCTCAGGCGTACAACCCAGTGAGACACTTGCAGTGAGCATGCATCATGCAGCACGCGACGTCATGAGGTATTTCAGCTTTGTATCTCCGAGCTTGCCGATTTCCGACCGGACAGTAAGCAGCAAAACAGGATGAGCAAGGATCCCAGTAAAGTTTTACTAAAGACCGCCTATATTGTCTGCGTGTACAAAACTGCATGTCGTTCCCTGTTCCTGTCCCCTTAATTCCCGAACTCCGTCCACGGTGCAGTTGGTTGGACCTTCCGCGCTACAATTTCTCTCTTCTCTTTCCCTCCGAGTAATATCACCCACGGCTGCGCCATCGCCCTCAGTATGTCTACTAATGGCGACGTCGAACGCGATGCCAGTTCGCGCCGTGCCTCCCGATTCTCCAGTCGGTCTGCCCGGTCAGATACGAAACTTGACGAGTATACCCGGCTGGTGAAGTTCATGTCCACGTACCGCGAGAAAGACGCGAATGATCCCGGAGAGGGAGAAATCCGCGAAAGCCGGGTGTGGTATGCGCCATGGAAGAAGAGAAGATTTCGCTGGAAGCACGTTGGGTCGTCGCGCGAGTTCCCGGAAGAGTGGCGCCTGACTGACATTCATCATGGGTTATCGGGGTCGGAGGTCGAGACGAGGAGACGGTCGGCAGGGTTCAATGAGTTGAGCTCAGAGAAGGAGAATCCGGTTGCGAGGTTGTTGTCGTACTTTCAGGGACCAATCCTATATGGTGAGACATGAGCATCGGTTTGGTTACTGATCTGGTGATTTGCATATGCTGACTGTTGTGCTTTAGTCATGGAGATTGCGATTCTACTTGCTGCGGGTTTGAAGGACTGGATTGACTTTGGTGTCATCATTGGCATTTTGTGCTTGAACGCGGCAGTTGGCTGGTATCAAGAGAAGCAGGCTGAGGATGTGGTTGCCAGTCTGAAGGCCGATATTGCCATGCGCAGTACTGTTGTGCGTAACGGGGAGGAGCAGGATATTTTGGCACGGGAACTGGTTCCTGGCGACGTGGTAAGCATATTCTTACGAGATCACTTCGGCAACCAGGTGCTCATGTTCCGTTCCAATAGATCATCGTTGAAGAAGGTCAAACTGTCCCCGCCGATGCAAAGGTGATCTGCGACTACGACGAACCCGACCAAGGATGGAGTGAATACCAAAGACTGCGGAGCGAAGGAAGATTGGAAAAGGACGCCGAAAAGTCCAATGACGAGGAGGGCGAGGATGACTCTGACGACGATGAGAAAGGCTATCCTATCCTGGCCTGTGATCATTCTGCTATTACGGGAGAGTCTCTTGCCGTCGATCGATTTGTTGGTGACCAAGTTTTCTACACAACAGGATGCAAGCGTGGAAAAGCCTACGCAGTCGTCCAAGCCACTGGGACGAAGTCCTTTGTTGGTCGCACTGCTTCAATGGTCCAGAATGCAAAAGATACTGGCCACTTCAAGATGGTCATGGATAGCATTGGAACTGCCTTGCTGGTAATCGTCATGGCCTGGCTACTGGCGGTCTGGATTGGTGGCTTCTTCAGAAACATCCCAATTGCCTCACCTGGTGAACAGACTCTTCTTTTCTACACCCTGTCTATCCTGATCATTGGAGTCCCAGTCGGTCTGCCTGTCGTTACAACGACCACCTTGGCGGTCGGTGCGGCTTACCTTGCGAACAAAAAGGCTATTGTTCAGAAATTGACTGCTATTGAGTCACTTGCTGTAAGTATTACTAGGGGCATCTTCTCTTTTGTCCTGAACCCGACTTCTAGGTTACCTCTCTTTGTCATATATTTTAGATACTGACAACAGAATAAATAGGGTGTCGATATCCTTTGCTCCGACAAAACCGGAACCCTAACCGCTAATCGCCTCAGCATCCGGGAACCTTTCGTATCCGAAGGAGTCGACGTAAACTGGATGTTCGCAGTCGCTGCTCTCGCTTCTTCTCATAATGTGCGCTCGCTCGACCCCATTGACAAGGTGACCATCCTCTCGGTGAACCAATACCCCAAGGCAAAGGAAATCCTCCAACAAGGGTGGAAAACTGAGAACTTCACACCCTTTGACCCTGTCTCGAAACGAATCGTTGCGAATGTCTCCCTTAATGGTACCCGCTACACTTGCACGAAAGGAGCGCCTAAAGCAGTCCTATCATTGACCAATTGCTCAGAGGAAACTGCAAGAATGTACAGACAAAAAGCAACCGAATTCGCACAGCGTGGTTTCCGGTCGCTTGGCGTTGCTGTTCAGAAAGAGGGTGAAGAGTGGACCTTGTTAGGCATGCTGCCTATGTTTGATCCCCCTCGTGATGACACTGCTCAGACTATTGCTGAGGCACAAAAGCTAGGCATCAAGGTTAAGATGCTTACGGGAGATGCTATTGCTATTGCAAAGGAGACGTGCAAAATGCTGGCTCTGGGCACGAAGGTCTACAACTCGGAGAAGTTGATCAGTGGTGGTCTCAGCGGCGCCATGGCCGGCGAGTTGGTAGAAAAAGCAGATGGATTCGCAGAGGTCTTTCCGGAACACAAATACCAGGTTGTTGAGATGCTCCAGGATCGTGGTCATCTTACAGCCATGACTGGAGATGGTGTCAATGATGCGCCGTCTTTGAAGAAAGCAGACTGTGGTATCGCGGTCGAGGGTGCCTCAGAGGCTGCGCAATCTGCATCGGACATTGTGTTTCTGGAGCCAGGGCTTTCAACCATCATCGATTCCATTAAGGCCAGTCACCCCTTGTTCCCATCCCACAGTCACAATTGGTCCATCCTGACAAAAGCAGGTCGCCCGCCAAATCTTCCATCGCATGAAAGCCTACATCCAATACCGAATCGCGCTCTGTCTACATCTAGAAATTTATCTCGTAACGACAATGATCATCCTGAACGAAAGTATCCGTACCGACCTCGTCGTCTTCCTAGCCCTCTTCGCCGACGTGGCTACTGTAGCAGTCGCCTACGACAATGCCTCCTACGAACTTCGCCCTGTACAATGGCAACTCCCCAAAATTTGGGTCATCTCCGTCATTCTAGGAATTCTCCTCGCAGCAGGAACATGGGTGATCCGCGGCACGCTGTTCCTTCCCGACGGCGGCATCGTCCAAAACTGGGGCTCCATTCAAGAAATCATCTTCTTGGAAGTCGCCTTAACAGAAAACTGGCTAATCTTCGTGACCCGTGGAAGCTCAACTTGGCCATCTTTACCTCTCGTGGCGGCGATCTTGGGTGTCGATATCCTTGCAACTATCTTCTGTTTGTTTGGGTGGTTCTCCAACCGCGATATGATTACCGATCCGTATGATCAGTATATCAGCAAAGAGACGAGCAATGGGTGGACGGACATCGTCACAGTTGTGCGGCTGTGGGGGTATTGCATTGGGGTAGAGATCGTCATTGCGTTGGTCTACTACGTTTTGAATAAGATCGCCTGGTTGGACAACTTGGGCAGGAGCAAACAAAGTAAAGGGGATGCGGCTATTGGGAATGTGCTTGCTCATATGGCTAACTTGTCCCTGGAGTTTGAGAGGGGAGAAAATGGCAATGGGAGGGTCTTTTTGGCTTCCGGTAAGGAGGAAGAGGAGGTTGATTAGGTGTGCTAATGTGTTGATGTGGTTGGCGGTGTGATGGTATGATAGTGTTGAGTATTAATCACAGAATGGTGAGGAACATCAATGGGGATGATGGCATCTACATAAACATCTATCTTACTATAATACTATGTCAATTGAATTACTTCTCAAATATTCTGAATCACTTCTTCCCATTTCTCTCGAACAATGCCACACAAAGGATAAACACTGAGGGACAATACTGGGCCGAGAGACCTTCTTAGGATAGCTTCGAATTTAGAGGGCATGTTTCCCTTTTTTGAGGGGTTTTGTAAAGGCAAGGCTACGTCAAATCCTGAGAAATTGCCTTGTCTACTGAAGGAATTTTGTCCCGAACCACCACGGAATTCCAATCCTTCGATATGAAACAAGTCCAATAAGTCACAAATGACTAGTTGTCGATCAACGCCAAAGTGTTCACTAAGCTCCTAAGAAGATTGTCGCGACAGGTGATCCACCGCGATTGTGGGTCTAATGCTTGCTAAGCTACGGAGGATCAGAGGCGAAGGATCCGAAGGATTCGGACGGCATCTGAACGCTGTCACCGAAAGGCCCCTGAACATGAATGCAGGCGGGCCGGAACATTATCGGTAAAACATGTTATGTAGCTAGTGGATAGCTAAAGTTATGTAGAGTGGGTTGAACCACTATTAGGAAGGTTGACGATCCTGACGACACTTATCACCTTCCTCTAATATACTCTATGCACATGGATCCTCTATATCGCCCCGTAGAAGTTACCTTTTCTAGATATGGGCAATTAAGAACCACTATACCCATATTCAATCCCTTTCGCGGTGCCCTAGGGTTGCCGGGGAACTCGTCCGCATGATCCTGGCACCCCGAAATCCGGGAAAGAACATATAAGGGCGCCCTTTCCTGTCCCTTACAAATAGACTTATCCACTAAAACATACAACTCAGTCAACCAAGACACCTGCAAAACCCTTTCAAGACTCAGATCCAAACTCACTATTCATCATGGTCCGCCTCATGGCCCTCGGACTCTTCCTTATCAGCGCCCTCACCGCGCAGGCCTGCACGTACTGCCAGTGCGAGTTCAGCGACAGCAGTCACTGCTGCGTATACTCGGTAAGTACTGTCCCACACAGCAATACTATTTCCGAGAAGCTAATAAGCTTTCCTACAGGATGCAACCATCGGAGAGTTAGACTGCACCAGCATCTGCGCTAAAGCTCATCGGGCCGACGGCGTTAGCAATGCGGATGGCACAGCCGGTACTGCGTGCAATGCTGGGGGTAAATATGAGTGTATTAGTGCTATTACGGCGCAGGGTCGGACGCCTTGCTACACTGAGTGAAGGATATGCTGGTTTGGAGAGGTACTTTAGCGGGATGTTAGTTACATGGAGCATGAAGGACGGTACAATCAGAAGCGTTGGCTTGATGAGAGAGATGTTGTACATTCAGTGCCTCAAATAACTCGTTTATATCTATAGCGTTCCTCATTCTTGCTGTAAATGTGTTTCTTTAGGTTGAGCCTACGGGGAGAACCATAGTCCAAAGGAATAACCCGAGAACATCTGACCCAAAAAATATTTTTTCGGGTACGCAGCATACGGAGTACTGCTCGTTCATCTCCCCAAATCCTACTGCCTATATGGCAAGAAAAACAGTCTAGAACCAGCCATCTCGTAGAATGTCCATTATCATCGAAACTATTTCCCGGGAAGTGGTTTCTGGATTAGGTAGTATAGTATGTAGTGTATTTATAGAAAACACTCTTTCCAGGACTATTATCTTTAAACCTCAACACGACCTGACAGACATCGCACAGACCGCAAAAGCTTACCACATTGGCTCCCGACCTCCTTGAATGTAAGTCTTCTTCCCACACACTAATACTCGAGACTAACCTACCACAAAGGAACACTAAAATTATATGGCCAACATCAGCATCGTGGAAGCCGACCACGAAAGGGTCGAATTCCCCACCACAGCCAACGGTCTCCCCACCGGATTCCCACCAGTCTTAGCACGACGTGGAGCGCCCGAATTCATGTGGGATCAAGACATGTACATCATACGCCATATGGCAGAAAGGCTCTCCAAAGACCAAAGTCGAGAGATATTCCTGGTCTGCTTCACGTGTGGGCTGTCGATTTGCTTCTACGGTGCCGCGGTGGATCGGTTTAATGATCGGCTGCAAACCTATGTTGATGGGATGAATGCGAGGTATGCGCCGTATGGGGTTGTTTGGGAAATGAGATGGGTTCCATATTGTGGGACTTTTATGTCTTATGAGACTTAGCTGTTAGGTGATGTGCATTGGTAGGGGATGTGTGAGGAGGGGGGGTTGGAGGTTCTGGTTCAGGAGCTGAAAATAGATACCTAGCCAGTATTGGGCGAGTTAATGCTATGTGTGTTCTCTTATTATTGGCTTATGCTAGGTCTCAACGATGCGACATAATTGCGATAGCCCTAAAGAGAGGAACGGTGCATGGAATCCTGAATCAAATACCTGGATGGAATGCAAGAGAGACGTGGTCGGATTGACAGATCATATGATTTGGTTGAAACTTTCTCGTGAACTTTTATTTGGTTACGAGTGAGCACCTTAATTACCAACTAATAATGTTCTTTGGAACCTAGTGGGGTTGCCTCCCTAGCTTAAAATTGCTCGCTTCGGGACCATTGCCCGGATGTGGCGGGTCTGGAATCCAAATCGCCGGGAGGGGTCGTTGTTGGTTCCAAGCAACATGTCAACCCCGTTAACGATAAATTTCGGTAAAGAGAACCTAATTTTGTGCTTGCACGATCATCGGCTCCGACTTCCATTGAGCTGTCAGTTGACCAGGCCAGCCTCTGAAGCTGTTCTTTCGTATCATGACCTGGGCGACCAATAGCTCTATGGCAGTTCAATAACATCGCGGCGGTGCATATAGTTTTCATACGTTTTACGATCGTGCCCAGATATGAGGATCTAGGCGCAGTCTGCCACATGTCAGAAGTATCAAGTTTGTTCGTCTAATAATCAAGGGAAAGACTCACTGAGAGAACCATAAAAGACCGAGCATAGCATGACAGCCACAAAGCCTCACCCTTACAACTTCCACCTTTACACTCCATGATGAACGCCCACCTCAACCACGCCCAAAAACAGTCCCTCTTACTCACCCACTATGGATACTCAATCCGCCGACCTCCACGAAACCACAACCACTGAAACAAACTCCACCGACTCCCAACCACCAAATTACCAACCCTTAGAGCGTCTAATAGCCATACCCCGCGTATGCAATCTCACCGATCGACTCCTAACCAATCTCCCCTTCATCCGCGCCTACACCGACATTCTAACCAACTTTGGGATCCCCGAGGAAGTCTTCCTCGATTTCATCGACGAGTTGAACATCATACAGGCCGGACACACAGCCCTGAAGTACATGCAAAAGGCCGGTCAGGTCATCCACTTTGCTGACCATATCGACCCCACGAAAATCACCACACTTCTGGGACAATGTTCGGACCTCACAGCTCGTCTCATCCACATGGCATATATCAAGGGACCGTTTGCGCGGAGGACGGCCTATCTAAACAGAGCAAATCGGCTGCTGTTCCATCCCAAGCATCTTGAAGTATCGATCGTCAGTGGGAAGCAGCTGAGGAAGATACTAGGCCTTCATCCGAAGTTTCCGCTTTGTGCGTCGCTATGTCCGCGGTGGACCGTACCATCGAAAACGGACCTTGTTCAGGGCGTGCGCTCAAGGGTTCGCGTACCTGGGAGACAGCTATGTCAGCTTATCGACTATGTTTATGACTTGGATCTTGCGGCGGAGGCGAAGAGGGGATGGAGCCAGGAGAAGGGAAAGGTGCGGAGGGATGCGGCGAAGGTTGTTCGGGATTGGCAGGTCGTATCAGAGGTTCAACATGAGATCTGGCGCGGCGAAGCTATCCTGTTATATGATATGGCAGGGCAGACTGCAGATCTGAAAACGAGAAAGAAGCTGGTGAAGAAAGCAAGAGAGACGGATAAGGAGGTGAGGCATACGGAGAAGATTACTTGGCTTGTGGTGCAGAATTGGCAGGATTCGGCGTAATGGCGCTTTGGTTTGGCTGTACATGAGTCTGTCATAGTTGTTAGGAGTTAATGACAATGGCATACCTCTTGTTCGGTTGTTCAATCCTAAGGGAGCGTTAGGGATGCGTGCATTCAAAGTGAACTCTGACTAGTCTTATCTTACACTGGCGAGGTGCTTATTGAACGGGGTTCTTCAACCGAACGTGCCTTCCGAGTACGGGCTGTGCTCAGATACGCCTCTATGCGCTGCATCTACAGCACCTAAAGACTAAATTGTCTATTCGACTCCCACATGCTATTCTTCGAATATTGGATGTAGGCCATCTACTGCATCAATATGGTTGTTTTCTGGTTTACATGGTGGCATGAACAAGCACATTTTCACGTAAACATGAATCGCCGATGCGCCCATTTTAGAAGGGTCTTCGATCGGCGACCCAAATATATCTGGTAAAAGTACCTATGGATTTAGTTGCAAAGCATTTTACATGTTTCCGAAGAAACTACAATCGCGCACTTGCTGGGGAGCTCGGTACCATGGATTGAGCTCGGGAAGCGGAGTTCTAAGCCGGCCTTGCATGAGCTCCGGTTCATGTTCGGAGAGAGGCAATTGATAGCACCTCCCACTTCTTAATCTATATAGTATAATAGAGGGTAACGAACTATTGCAGCGGCATTTGGGGGGAATAAACTACTAGAGCTCTTAGCCTAAGGATAGATAGCATCAAAACGTACGAAATAGGTCGACCATGTACTTTTGAGCCGAGTACTCCCCTTTTTCGTCATGACTTTCTGGCACTTTCTACATCAAATGGCGAACAATTTTCGAGATAGCTACGTTCTAGCCATTCTCTCCTTTACGAAACCTTACACTATATGAAATTAGCTCCGCGACAGTTTACTCAACTGAATCTTCAATTCGAATCACGTCCCCACTCGAGTTTACATGAATAAAAAAAGGTAGCCCACTATGCTTTTTCGCTATCCTCAATTTTCTTTGGCATACTCTATTGGAAGAATGGCAATTAGGTTCAAGCTGTGGATCATTTCAGAGATCAATTAGTGGCAGCTCTGCCGTAATATATATTAGTAGTAAGATAAACAACTATTTAGGAATATATATTCCAAATGATAATATGAACCCAGATATCAGGTTCCTTTTTGAATTCGATGCTCCATAGAACAAGGTAATAGCGAGTCATCATGAGATGGTCACAGTGAGCTCAACAGTTTTGTTGTAGGTGAGATAACGTCTTTGATCATGGCGTATTGCGAGTGTGGTCGTCTATCAATTCCGGAACGGGGTCGAATTGAAGTGTGAGTCAGTTGTTATTATGAACAGAGTCCGAAAGGTAGTATGGTAAGTAGGTTGCGGACCAAGAACAGATAAGAATCACTGCCTGAGTGATGTTCGTTGTTGACATGTGGCGGATTGAAATAACAAGTGACATAAGTCAACACAAAGAATCTCAAAGTAAAGGCTGTCCTGTCCTCTGCATCCCGCTTCAACAGAGCTCAATATATGTACAGGCAGCTGATATACAGTTTTTTCTTTTCCAACGATGCAAAGCCAGTGTGGCGGTTATCATGTCTTCGTGAGATATGACAAGTTAGACATTCCAGATGGCATGGGAATCATCAAGCCGAATGGCTCGGTACAAGGGTCTATTAACATGTGTGGACAATATATAATGATGAAAATAAAGCTTTTATGAAACATCACCACAGGTGAAAGGGCTGTGGACATCACCTTCGCGGTAATTAAGTCGCTGTTCAATATGATTAGTGAAAAGTTAGTTGAGGAGTTGGGGGCAGATAACTTACTATATCCTGAATACTCGAGTACAGACCACCAACAAGAACAATAAGACCAAAGATAAAGACAAACAGATTCACCAGACTGGTCAACAAGTTCTCCTTGGAGTACCATGGCCCCTTGCGGATGAGGACATACCACATGATCGGGGGAAGGTAGAAAGAGAAACCAGAGGTGAACAATGCCGATGTGATGGAGAGAAGATCATCGAAGAACGGAATAGCCTCTGCGATGACCCACGAGATGATGGTCAAGACAGTGATCACAGTAAGCCACGTAATCCAGCCCTTGGGCGTGTTGATGTACTTGGTCACACTGTTGGCGTAGATCCGGCCGTGAATCAAACGTCCAGCCACGATGGTGCAGATAGCGCCCGAAATAAAGATGACCGGAAGGGCAATGCCGAAGGCGACCTTGCTAACGAGTGTGCCAGCTGAAAGCAAGGCAGGAGACTGGACATCGGTGCCCACGAAGGCGTAGATAGTGGCGCCCGTGACAGTGTAGATGACGATCTGAAGGATGCCAAGGGACCAGATGGATTTGGTGAATTCCCTAGGGGTATGCATCTCGTCCATGAACGAAAAGAGGCAGCTAGCGA